ATTTTGCAAATACTATGTTTAATTAGTCCTTGTTAACTAAAAAAACAAAATGTTCACCAAAAAATATTTGAACATTAATATTTTGCACTAGGTTAAAACAATATCCCCAAATTAACAATTTAAAGATAATTTTAGAGTTTTGGCTCTGAAATTATTTATTGAAAATCATGTTAAAAAATTATTTTCAAAAAGAAACCTGAGGATGAATTTTTTTCAAAAATTAGAAATGAAATGAAGAAAAAACATTACATGCTAACGATAAAATATTATCTTTAATGTAAATATTGTACTTAAATATGTGCTATTTAATCAATACAACCAGAAGAATAGTATTTTATTACAATTATCGAACAATATGAGGTTTTTCATTTTTAGATAAAAATAATTGACTTTCATATGACATCCGAAATTAAAATAAGAGGAAAAAATTATAATATAAAGCAAATTTATCACGTATTTAAATTATTTCGGTGAATTCTTTCATGAAGGAACCTCCTAATTACTTGAATCATCACTATATCTGAATCCATTTCAAAAGTTAGATTAGAACATTCCTTTCTTGTCCATAACAATTTTCGCAATTAGTAGCATAAATCGTGACAATAAATTGCATTTGAAATGCATCTACATTGACTTGAAAAACAGGCGAACTTTTGGCAAACATAAAAATGTTTTAGCGAACCATCTGATACACAAGGAATACTGTTCATACAAATGCGTACCATGTTCCAAATTCTTTTTTTTTTTACATCAATAAATATTTTTTAACTTTTCATTGTATTGAACACTTAGATGTTTTACTTGCCCTTAAAGGTGCTACAACTGTCACATCCACTAAAAATATGTAGGTCTACACTGCCGTGAAAAAGAAAAATCAATTTAAGCTACCAAAAATTCAAAATTGAGCTATATACATTTGACATTCCTGTATGATAAACTACATGTTGCAAAAACATTTGTTTTCAAATATAAATGTTGCTTTATCAGTTTTCTGAAATTCTATTTCAGCTTTCATAGCATTAGCAATAGAAAAAAAAGTGGTTAAGCTACTTTTTGCGTGATCTATGAAGAAGCACCATACCCTCCAACTTATGAGGATTTTGAAAATAATTCTTTCGAGTGGTAGCGGACCAAAGTAGAAATTTTTAAAGCAAATGGATCTCTCATAAAACTTTTATCAGAACTTAAGAATCTAGTCATATGGCCTGCACTTTTATAAGTAATAGTGGACAAGTTACGCTAAAATTAATTTTTTTTAAATATTACGACATTAATTTTGCTACCGTCTGAAAAGAAGATTTCTGAAACTACGGAAATTTCGTAGCAGTTGGAGGGTATGAAGCACTTACGTTGTTTTTTCAATTGCACGGCAGTACTAAACTTTCACTTATATCTGCTTGGTCCAAAAAAAAAAAAAAAAAAAACTGTGTTATCCCATACAAGTGTGGTAAAATTTACACTCAATGCCAACAGGTAAATATTTAATTGCATTTCATCCAGAGCTGTATTGTATTCAAGGAATGTTGAATGTAAAACGCAATGCCCATAATCATTTAAAATATAAATAATTTTGAAGCAACCAGCTATGTGTCTGATTGCCATAGATAGAGATAAATATATTTTGGCGTTTGTTTTCGTCCACCTAATGCCAAATAAGTTATATCCTGAGCGATTGAAAAAAAATCATCGTTGTACTATCAGATGCTTTAAATTTTTTTGACCGAGGCTCGTTCAAAATTTTGGATAATTTGTTCATTTGTATTACCTCTAAATTATTAATGATTCTGGGTTCAAAAACTGCTGCACAAAATTACTTATCTTTAAGGAATAGAATATTTATTTTTGACGTTATTTTTGAGAAAATTAATATATTTAAAAAAAGAACTTTCGTGATATTTCGCTCCTTTTGCAATTAAATCTACTCCATGAATTTTAGTTAAAATATGTTCCTCTTTTTTTTCTCAGTTTCAAGCAAAAAACTATTGTAATTAAAGGTCATGCATTGTGAAATTTATTTTGCGTATACATTTCTTTCTTTTTCACATAATAAACAAGTATCCAGAAAAATACCAAAAATGTTACAGGTTTGCATAAGAGAATGACACACCTTTTGTTTGATTCCTTCGAAATAACGTTTTTATCTTTTTCATTTTTTTAGCCTTGGATATTCCTATCTTATCAGTTAATTGAGCATAACACTTTTTGTGATGTCCCAGATTTGAATTCGAATAAATCTAAATGTTTAACTCCTCTGACACAATTTTCTTTTATCATTCTGACGTTAGCCACTTTTCTTACAAATAAGTAGTTTTTGTTTAGAATTCTATGTAGTAGGAATTGCACAATTTTTCTTTCTTCGGAAATGTAAACAAGATGAAGTTGTCATTGCGAAGTCAACAACAGAGTAAAAAGACATTTTAAGTACAACAAAACTGATGCTGTTAGCTCATTGATGGACAAAATTATTTTTATATTCTGCTATAGAACTAATTTTTTTTTTCAAAATTTTTGTATTTAAATATTATTTTTAAATATAAGAGAAATTATAAATAAAATAATCACAACATAATTTTGCACGTTTCATTTGCACTATTTAATAATTCAATTTATAAGAGCGCCATCTAGTGTGATAGTTAATCCTTTCTTTCAGTTTTAAAGTGCCGGAAATGATTTTCCATCTCCAAATTGTAATATAATGCGCAAGTAATTTTTGGTGAAGTTAATGTTTCTGAAAAAAGCGGCTCTTTTTTTACTAGTGTACCAAAATAACTTATTGGTAAACGGACTTGATAAACGGATTGGTAAACATTTTATCCACTTGTCCCATGGCCTATTAAGCGAGTCTAAATATAGACTTTTACGACTCATGATTGTAAAATATGGCGACTGCTTTAGCCAGTATACTGTATGCATTAAAAGACCTAGAAGTTTTGTTTTCACTTGATATCTTCGATTTTAGTGAGAAGAGGTTTTGTCTTACTCAATCGAATTTTCAAACCTGTGGTTGTTACCGAGAAGCTTGAGAATTTCCTAATCTCGCATGATTCAATTGAATAAGCTGATTTGTGTTCGGTTGTCCATATAATCATGAATGTGGGAAAACGTCTGTTCGCCGATGTTAATTGAGGTGGTCATTCATCGTAAGCGAAGAAGAGAAAAACTTTAACTGAGCAAGAGAAACAAATCAGGATTTACTTGTTTTTATTAAACAATTTACTTGTTTTTAATTCGTCTTTGTAGAGAAGTTGCTTGATTTTTTAAAATTTTTTTTTAAAGAAAAATCATGAGAAAAATTTTAGTTTCGTCAATACACTGATTTTTATTTTTCCCAGTGAGAGTATTTTTCCGAGAAAAAAATGAACTTGTCAGGAAATTATTTGTTACTCACATTTATGTGCGGTCGCAACGTACTATTAACATACTTATGATTTTTTTTTTATAAACTCAACGAATCACTTTGCTACAACTCGTGAACTAGTCTAGCGGATTTTTTTAAATCTGCATAAAGTAAAATAATATTTCACACCTGTAAAAGTTTACATTAAACTCCACTTAAATTAGCACATACTGATAAATGAGGATGTTATGTGTTTCAGTTTCCTTTTTCTAAATGTATGGTATTTTATTGTTGTTTTTTTACATTTTATGAGGAATCTATTTCTACCATTTATTTGCTAAAGAACAATAAGATTAACTATTATTTAAAGTATTAATTTACGAAATACATCAGTTTTAGAAAGAAAAAAAATTAATTCTCTGTAAGGTCACTCACGAGTTGATTAAAAAAACGTATATTATTTTTAATATCTGAAATTTTTCAAATTAACGCTTAGTTATACTATTGATAAACTATTGTAAACACTCATTTTAACTAAATTTTATTATTCGCATGCTGTCGAGTAGCTAAAGAAATTGCTAGTAAGATGCTTATTTTTCATAGTTAAAGCTTTCAGATAATTATGAAAGACCACATTATTTTTAAACCACTGAAAATACTTTGTTGAGTTTCCAAAATACTAATTCACGAAATACTTAAATTTTAAAAAGAATTCATGTACCGCAGAGGTTACTTAACGGAATTTACGTGAAAAACGAATTTCAAAATAGAGAGGAAAATGATGTTCATTTTTAATATCGAAAGTTTTCGGATAATTATAAAACACTTAGTTAAGATATTTAATGTATTCTTTTGATAACAAACATGTCAGGTATTTAAAGTTTAAATTAAAAACAGCACGCCATTCAAAGTCAACGTAACAGTATGGATAATTGCGTTCCTATTTGATGTTTCAATTAAACATAATTGACCATGATGAAACGGCAGGGTTAATAATTTGTTTAACCTCTTCAGAAATGATTACCAATAAACCACTATCACGCATTCCTTCTTCTGAAATTACCTGTTAAAAATAAAGCTGCTTGGGAGGCGAATATGAAGGAGAAAAAACATTCAAATTCTTCGCCACCCAGATGTTATGTCTTCGCTGTTAATCACACTGACGCCTACAATGATATAGAAAAACTTCACTGTTTGGAGCTTTAATTTTTATACTATTTTAATAAATATAATGCCTATTCAAATAAAAGTTTCAAAATGTAATATCATAAATTTGTTTGATTATTGTATTCATAAAGCAAAATTATTCATTTTAACTAATCGTAAATGTTAATAAATAGTGCAAATTTCAACATTTGGAAATGGCACTTTCAGTGGTCATAAACTATTTTTACAATATTGACAACGAAAATCGATTTTAGCGGTCAAAAATGGAGAAAAGGAACTATTTTCTAGAGTTACTTTTTTGAATTAAAATTTCTAAGGAATAACATTACTTCGATCAAATGAAAGTAATTTACATATCTTTGACGCATGTACTTTAAGAGTAAAAAACATAGTTGCTAATATTTGCTTATTCAGATAAAAATATCAATTTTCATAATTCAAGTCAATTTTATGGCGAACATTTTTCAATAATCACAAAATATTACATTTCTATTTGAATCCTCATTTTTACTTTTTATGTTACTCATATAAATTGAGATTATACGGTTTCCAAATTACAAAGTACGCAGTTTTGGTACACTTGATATAATATTAAAGTGTATCTCTTTCTGTAATAAAATATGTTTTTATTATTTTGCTAGACTTTTTAACACTTTTGTATTGAAGATGACATCAAAAATTGCCAACTGGAATCAACGATATGAAAACAAACAATGACATGTTGATTGAAACAATATATAACATTGAAACTTTAAATAACAACCAAAAGTCAGAAATGAGAAGAATATACACAAAATTTAAAAATAGATAAAAAAAAATCGTAGTTGCATACAAGATTTATTTTTACAAAACAAATACCGTCTTGACACATAGTTAAGATTTTATACATTATAACTTATAACAAAAAGATAATTCATACATGATTTGTTAATATCATATTATTTATCTGAATATGTAAATGAAATTTTATCTAATTTGTTTAGAAACTCTTTCAAACTAGCACCAAATTCTATAAAACGCGTAAGGCTTCAAATGGTTTTAACAAAAAGAGTTTACAACATTTTCCAAGTAATGAACGCACAAAATGGCTCTAATTTCAAAAATTGAGCAAAGCAGTACCACAATAAATGATGGATTCAAGTGAACGAAATCATTCTGGAAGTAAATCAGAAATCGAAAAATTTGTCGCAAAAATTTGAAAGCGAGAGCCACAAATTCGACAAGGAAGATTCTACTGTAAAGCTTATAAGCCGAACGAAGCATTAGCTTTAAAGAGTCAAATATGATTGACGAAAAGTGCATATCAAGATATTTGGAATAGTTCGAGCGTAATGGTCAATTGTAGTCACTAGATCTAGAAACCATTTAAAAAATTTTTTATTTGTCCGTTCGGGAAGAATGAGTGAAAAAAGAATTTTTCTCATAGGATTAGTATAGCGCATTGTTACAATAAGAACTGTTATCAATTGATCATTTTTCAGTTTCAACATTACAATTTCTGAATTGAAAATTATTATATACTGTTTGGTTATAATAGAGTTGGTACGAAAACCGTGAGACTAATACATAAGAATAAATACATGGTGTTCCTTTCGCTTTACTTAACAACTCCTTTTATTATTACAAAAAAAAAATATATTAACTAGTGCATGTAGAATAGACGTTCATCAAATTTATTCACAATTTAATAGTTAAAATATAATACTTAATAATATTTTTAAAAAAAATAATTATCAATGCAATTTGTTTCGATATTTATACTTAAGGAAAATTGGTATATATTGTAGCATAGGAAAAGAATAGATTTGTTTCGAGGAGAATTAAAAGCTCTTACATGGATTTCAAACTTACAATCATAGTTTTTTATAAGGTTAAATTATATTACATAAGGTTAAAATATATTACATTCAAATTTAAAACAAAAATATTTTATATCTTTAAGAACATTTTGGTTATTAATTACAGAAAACTTGACGACCGATTTTCTTCTCTAGCGATTTCAATAACAACTTCCGCTGTTTCTACATTAGAGTTCTGCTCTTTCGCACAAGCTGAGTCATCATCATTATCAATTTCGGTGCTGCTTATTGATTCAGTTTTTTCAGCATTTAAGTCACCCTCTTTATGCTCAGCTGATATGGATCTTTTCAACTCTAACAGCATTCGATTTGCATCTTCCACAAGATCATGAACCGCATCCAGGCGCTTTCTAGTACTAGCTTCATCTTGGTGCACTTCAATGCTAGCTGCAGACGTAGCTCGCGAAGTTTCTTCCACGATGGAGGGCATCAAATTATCCGGTTCAATGTCACTTTCCATTGAATTATCTGTGTTTTCAGCATCTGCCGAACCATCAGCCTCTGCTGGGACACTTATAGATCGTGTTATAGCGATACTAATTTCATCTGGGTTGTGTTGTGGTTCTACTTTTTCGGTATTTCTTTGTTTCTCTTCGTTCTGCAGACAATTTTGCCTTTTACGATCTAATACAATGCTATCTGAATAGACAGGTGCACTCACTGGTCTTTTTTGATTTACATATGTATTGACCGCGTTGTTTAAACTCGTTGTCTTTGTAGCACCTGTGGCATTGCGGTAAGTGATATGGCCGCTAGAAGATGAATCGAATGCCTGGTTAACGATTCCTTTGACGCTTGTTTCGTTTTTTATAGTCCTTCGAATTGATTTCTTTTTCCGGCTTTGGCTGAGTTTAGTACTCATTATTCGTTGCAAAAGAGATGGTCTACCTCGAGGTCTTTTAACTGACTCACTTGAGTATACGTTACTCTCTTCATCTTCTTCGAATAAAGAATCCATGGGAAGATATTCCGCATCATCAACACTAAAACAAAAGCACACTAATCAAGTAGGCAATAAGAATAGAAACAAGCGTTCTAGAAGTGTTAAAATAATGTCCCTATAATATATATGGATATTTTGAACTAAATGAGGAGGAAAAAGTGCTACAAAAAGCGTTAATAAAAAGGTTTGTCTTCTTTATCGCACAATTATGGCATATTTAGGGATCTAACAAAACTTTCTATAAATATTTTATTACAAAAAGCGAAGCGCTTTAGTCTTGAGTGGATTTTGGAACGTATAGAAAAACTTCAATATTAATAACAAGCAATAAAGCATTTTCATTTTCCCCTACCTGATTCATGCATGTCTATACACTCGACTTCGAACATTATAAAAAAATATCTTAATTTTAAATGTTATATATCAAAATAAATTACCTTTCTTTCATAAAATTGATTCAAATTCAAATGTGATAAATTTTCACTAATAGAATAGGATGCGTGAATTTGGATGTCGAAGCTCGCCTCAATAGTTGAAAAACTTGGTATTTTTATTGGTTTGTAAACACCTTTCGGTCTTAAAACTCGATGTTTGTACTTTAGACGCAGATAATGCATGCTCAATAATCAGATGTAATTTAATTCTTTTTTTAAAAAAACGTATAACATACTTTAAATAGAAAGCAGAACCCAACTGTGGTTGACTATAAAATGCAGATTCTTTGGTTTGCGGAAGAACTGGTTCCATTTCATCCCAAAAGTAGTCTTTATCAACTTTTGGGTGCTTCATACGCAAATGATCCACTGTAATATAAGAAAGCTGCGAACGGAAAGCATAAAAATATTTATATATAAAAACAGTTATTGAACTAAAAATACAATGATCAGAACAAATTCATTTAAAATAACTGAAGTCAGATCATAATTTGATGTCAGTAACCGAAAACCTATCGACATCAAAGTAGTTCAAATAAGGTTAGCGAATTCCTTTTTGTCCTGCGGCTTTGTCCATATCAGAGTAGGAACCCAAGAATTTTGCTCGCTTGCATACTTATGAAGATATTATCTGATTGAAAGCTTCATTCGCTTCAAAAATATACAAACCTGAAATAACAGTTGACATTATTCTAGCCAGAGCTTAAAAAATAAGCGCCTATTTTCAAGACTAGCGAGACGTGAATGTAAAGAAACAAAAATAATTTGAGATAAAAACGTTAAGTGCCGGTCAGGTGGCCGAACGGTTAGCGCGCCTAACTGCGAAGTCAATGGCTGCGGGTTTGAATCCCGCTCTGGTCATGGATGTTTCTCTCTTGTGTTGTCCTCTGTTGTGTGTAATGTGTGAATGTGGCCCACCCTATGAACGGGTTTGTGGCAGTATGGCGTGGGTAATGTAGCTCGCCTCCGTGACTTTGTTTCACAGGTGCCCACTGGGTAACGCAAAATTAGAAACAATTCCGGCATCTTTTAAGGCGAAGAATAAAGTTCAGTCCCTGCCATGTGAAAGAAAAAAAACGAAAAAAAAACGTTAAGTTGCCAACGAAAAATGGAAAAATAAAGCGGGGAAACAAAAGTAGAAAAATCACAGTAGCCGAGAGGTAGATCAGGATAAAATGCATTTCTACGAGTAAAGGGAGGCGGGGAGAAACTGATGTCGTTAACAAGGAAATCAGCATTGAAATAGTTTTCCATTTTTCGTTTTAAATTTAACGTTTCTATTTCAAATCATTTTTGTTTCTTTATTATTATTCGAGTCTGGCAATGTCTTGAAAATGGACGCCTATTTTCGAAGCGTTGGAACATATCGACTGTAATTTCACATTTATATATTTTGAAGCGAATGAAGTTTGATCAGGTAATACCTCACCACTTCAGTTTCTTGGAATTATTTATTTATTTCTCGTAAACTTGTGAAGGTTCAAGAAAAAGTTATGTAATTTAAATTTTCATAAAAGTGGGTCTGTGTTACATAAACAATTAAGTGAATTTCTTTCGCAAATTAATAATTAATCTTGACCCCAATCATGTTTCACTTTTATGCATATCGTCTACATATAAGCAATATATATTTTATGCATATCGGTCACATTTTGATCACTAGTAAAAGTGGTAAAAAAAATTAACATGAACGAGGCTTCCTCATTCTAAACATAAAAATAAACAGTGTTTTTAAACAATTTTTCATAAACTTGGTCATATTGTAATTCATGCTCTGATGGCCCAGACACGCGTTTCGAACCGAACAAACCGTTCTTAATCAGGCAGTTAACCATGGTAGGTAGGTTACCGTGAGAGAAAATGGTCGGTAAAGTGTGAATAAAGTGTGAAAATGAAAGTGTGAAAAATTTTCAAACAAGAACGGGAAAAAGAAAAGACGAGAAACGAATAAAAAATAAAGGGAAAACGGAGAGAAAGGTTGATTGAAAAATTAGAAGAACTCACAAGTTAGAAATAAAATCATTTAAACAAGTTTACACACATTGAACTAAGAGTCAATTTTGTCTTTCTTAATATAAATTGGCACCTTTTCAAGAAAATCAAGTTCCCAGTTACAAATGAAAAACGATCTTTGCATACTGAAAACTAAAAGTGCGGCGTATGTCTTAAGAATGCATGGCAATGAAGGATTTGATCTTGTTGTTGTTAATTTACGTCGCACTAGAGCTGCACAATGGGCTATTGGCGACGATCTGGGCAACATCCCGGAGGATGATCCGAAGACATGCCAGCACAATTAGGGGATGGCACCCCCGCTTCGGTAGCCCGGCGACCTGCGCGCGAAGTCGAGCACTTTACGGTAGCACAGTTTAACGAGGACCAATACCACACACCCTCGGTCCCTACGCAGACTGATCCAAGTGGTCACCCACCCGCACACTGACCGTAGCCAGTGATGCTTGACTTCGGTGATTTGCTAGGAACTGTGTCTTAACGATCAGTCCACTGCGGGACAATGAAGGATCTGAGGTCGGTTAGTTAAGTTACCTAACCTAACATATCAATGAATTTTAGTTTTTGATCCACTATTCGTCCTTTCTTTATCCATGTGTTCGGTCACCGCAGGTGGCCAGCGAAGCGGGATTGCGGCTTTTCGTGGCCACTGCGTAAATCGTCATCCCATACACTCTGGAGGTCCGAAGGGCTCGGGCCCCCTCGGATACGGAAATCACACAGCCGTCACCCAGAAGACGCATGTGCGGTCCCGCGCACTTCTAGTGCCCAATCCTACAACCCTGCAGAACCACTAAGCTTGCTGAAAAGACAGGGGTTAGGACACAGAAGAACAATTACAAATTAAAGAATGACATAAAATGTTTAAAAAAAAGTTTTAAATTTAAATGAGAAATTACATTTAGGGGGAATAGCTTCACCTAGATTACTTAAGCAAGTTTGAGAAGAAATAGTGAATCAGATTAAAAAGCTCTGTGATAAACGGTAAGGAAAGGAGGGAAACTCGTTGGAATTATCAGTGTTGCGGTTGGATAACAATACAACATGGTTACCAGGATACGGATATGGTATTACGGTTGTTAGCAGTGTAACAATGCTGGGGATCCTCTTATTTTAGACTTTTTCCTCTGTTTTTTTTTTACCGACCGAATTTTATGGGTTTGTCGTACTACTGGTGTTCAACTCCGTAGCCTTGTAATTTTGAACCCTATCCAGAAAACAAGGGAACTCCTGGATCGAGCATTGGGAGAAATTTCCCTTCGTGGAGGGATTTTTGATGGAGCCAACCCGCATTTGCGTTACATGGAAAGGAAGACCACGAGAGCCTCCCTCGGTTAGCCTGGCGGTAAGGGGACTCTAACCCATGATCCGTCTACCACTGAGGATATTTCACGTCAGCACTGAGGTCGGTGCAAGCCGGATGCGAAATTCGTATCGACTGGGATTCGAACCCGGTTCGCCGCATTGGAAGGCGAACGCTCTATCCTCGAATAAGTGGAGGTAAATTTCAACAAATTTTCCTTGCGTTTGTTGAAATTTACCTCCACTTATTCTTTGCCGCCCATTTTCACTCATTGTCACCCAAAGAAGAAAGGGGCTCCAATTGCGAAACTCGCAGGTGTGTTTATTCTGTAATATAATGTCAAAAAATATTTACATGTAAAAGTTACTGCTGATATTCTTGTGATAGTGATTAATTATAATTCGCAAAATATTTGTTGGCATTTGTGTACCTTCATGACCTGATATTAAATCAATACAAAATGCCCTTGTTCAAAAATGGCACAAAGTTAATTATATTTTCTCATGTATTAATCGTTTGCGACACATCGAGTTTCTCATTAGTTAAAAATAAATCGGCATTTTCGGAAATGGGAGAAATTCCGCATTTCCGATCTTCTGTATAGACCAGACACTGCAAACAGAAAGGAACTCACAGATATTAATAAGCATATAGTATCTTTAAAAGAACTGTATAGATCTCTTTTGTATTGTACAATTCTAAACGAAAAGACTCTGAACCTACTACTATATAATAATAGTCTCAACTTAAAAGTAATCTAATTGCTATGCAAGATTGCTACTGTTCATTATTTTTTTCGCGCACATATGAATTGGCTTTGTTAAAAAACTATGAACAACTAATATTAATTATATTATCCGAGAAAAGTAAACCACCTACAGCCCATATCATGTTTAATTAGCTCAGCATCTGAACATGGTTCGCTACACTTTCAAACTTATGCGAACAAGACATAAAAGTTTTAGAAAGGAAAAAATATAAATTAAAACTTAAATTAAAATATAATCTTACGTGAACACCTCTGTCAAGACACCAGTTTAATTCAAAATCGTCATCATCTTCACCGTATGGATTCAAAATTTGTTCAGCTACCTGCAAAGTTGATTTATACTGTACTATTTATTGTATAAAGCTCTTTGTAGATATTGCAACTATTATATAAAAAATGAAATAATAATTTAATAATAATAGTTTAATGATACACAGAGTTCTGTTAACACCACTCTTAATCAGGGTGCGTAGCCAAATCTTTGAACAAAAAATAAGCACCTTTTAAGCACTTTTCAAGCACTTAAAAAATATATTTAAGCACTATATACACTAACAAAATGGAAAGACTTTACGTGATCATGATAAAATTACTAGTTTGTAACAAAGAAGTCTTTTCTTGACTATATTAGCCACCATAAGAAGATCAAGAGATTTTTCGGTTCGAAAAATGAGGGTGGAAAATGAAGCCTGAAATTGAGAATAACTAGCAAAATGCAGAATAGTTACACACGACAGTGCTAGAATCTCACCGAACTCAGCTCAGTAGACGCACATGCGGACTCGCAAGAATTTCATAAAACATGCAAAATGATTGCTGCTTTCATACGCTTTGGACCGACGACAGGTAAAAATGGATTGTGGTTGAATGAATTGTGAAAACTTCAATAGAACAATGTGAAAGCCAGGCCTTTGGCATAATGCGAGCCGAAAATCGACATGGTAAAGAAAAAAATCTCTTTTTTCGAAAAGGGAATATCTAGTACTTATTATAAACACCCAATGAAAAAAGCACCTATAGGGCTTTTAAAAAACGAAAATAAGCACCTTTAAGCACTTTTTAAAAACGCAACGCACCATGTTAATATATATTTCTAGAAACTTTATTTTAAATGTTATAATAGGCAAAAAAATAATGATATAAGCAATTAAAAAGCAAAAACACTAATATTAGTACAATGTTTTCCACAGTCGTTGATCTTACAACTTTCTTAGGTGGTGTTACTGAGAGTCTTGCAGTCCAAAACAAATAAGAAGTATCTCCGGGAGTGGAGATTGTCTGGAAATAAGAAGAACTATGAGCATCTCTGAGGGCGGAACAGTTCCACAGATGCTTGCCATTCATATCTACATGTTCCTTACACAAAATGCGGTCAGGAGAGTCAGCAAGATAAATACGGTGCAAGTGTGCCTGAAGGTAGTCATGTCCAGTGAGCAATTGGAAGGATGATTTACAGAATTGTAGAAACTTGTCCTTACCACTTTGAACACTAGATAACAATGTAATTAGTGTAATAATAATAGTTGATGAGGGTGTGTTTGGATTGTTAGTGGTAAATGTAATGGAAAAAAAGAAAGCTATTGAGCTGCGATATAAAATAGGTCTACAATATTCAGATATAATTTATTACATTTATAAATTCTCAAACGTATTCCTTTATAATGTAGGAAACCATACCTACTCACCTTTAGCCACCCAAAATAGAAAAAGAATTGTAGTAGTGTAAAAAATGGAATGTAGAGATCAACTTCATGGTTTGGGTATCCTTTAGATGGGTCTAAGTATTGGCTTCCAATGACCAAAGCAAGTGAATATGTATAAATTGCGATAGTTACCACCTGCAAAATCAAAATTTTATTTGTAAACAATCATTGTGCAGTATCTAGAGAACATCACCAATAATTATTCGATATTAAACTATCGTCGCCAATTGGCAGTCTAACTCAGATGAAGCGGAAGGTGTCGTGAGGCACATACCTCTACAAAAACAATTGCATTGAAAAATATCATTGACGTACCTCAAAACATCTCAATTTCGATCAGTGATCAAAAATAGCTAATGCAAAAGAATTTCGAATCGTCGAGGAACATTCCAGTGACTTTCAAGTCATGTCTTGGCCCCCAAATTCTCCTGACCTTAATCCAATAGAGCATTTGTGGTCCTACTTGGAAAACCCAATTCGTGCAGCCACGCTACCCCCTCGCAATGTGAGGGAATTGCAGGATCAGTTGGCGACCTATCAGCACCTTGTGGAATCAATGCCACGGCGGGTGCTAGCAGTTTTGAGGGCTAAAGGTGGTCCTACACGTTATTAACAGGGGGGTCATAATGCAATGGCTCTTCGGAATACCCAAGTTATACCCAAGTTGGAAAAGTACCCAAGTTGGAAAAGTAATAATGGTTTTTTAATACGATAAGGTGTCATAATCATGCAAATTATAATTTAAAACAACATGAGAGAATATAGGTGATATTTATATTATTGCACTCACTTTTTTTAGCTCTATTTCAGTTATTTTTTTTCACAAAATGATGCATAAGTCTTCACAAATAAGCGATTTCTTCATGGCTATACCGCCATGCTAGTTTTACAAATGTTGCCAACCATCCAAATAAAAAAAGAACATTCGAAAGACTTCAATATGCAAATTTAATGTTAAATGGAATCTATTTAGCTTAACAGTCCACTTAAGACATATATGGCCCGTAGGATGTGAAAGGATTAAATCACTCATCAATTCTGACACTACACGCATTTAAAAAATACCCAAGTTCAGACTCAGCCCATGGAAGGATGTGTCAAATTTGTGACAGAAGCTTCGAATAAAGTCTTTGGATATGAAGTAAGAGAAGAATATATTACAGCAATACTAATTTAAATAATTGCCTCATTTCTCCAAAAAATCACATTTTAAATATGAAATAGATACTTAAAAAAGACTTTAACAATACAATGAGCCAAAAAATCCTACTTCATTGAAAATCTTAGTAAATAGCTGGAAATAAAATTTAATATACCAAAAAGTTAGATGGTTGGTTGGCTAGCGTATTGGTGGATCTAATTCATCGGTCTAATTCATTCATTAAACAGTTATAATTCAAGTATGAAGAATAATCGGGTCAAAATATTATTTTAATGGAATAAAGGAAATTGAAAAATGTTATAACTTGCCTGTGTGTATATCAACGGAACACTGATCCAATCATAACCAAACATAATAGCACAGGATGTTCTAAAATCAAGTATTTCCTGAAAATTGAATAATGCAAGTTATTCAAATCAATATACTGATTGACAATTGTATTTAAAAGAGTTAAGCTAACTATTATGCTAAATAAATTATATACTGAGCAGGAATTACGTGTATCAGTTCTATAAATAAACACGGTTACGTAATCGTATTACGTAGATCGATAACGTAAACATGCAGTTAGTTAGATCGATACGTAAAAATACAGTTAGTTAGATCGATACGTAAAAATACAGTTAGTTAAATCATTATCGAAAACTAACAGTCCCATACGTAAACAAACAGTTCGTCGGTTTAACGCGTAGACTTACTATATAGAAAAGTCAGCATGTAATGGCTTGATGTTTCTATAATGACAGAAATTCTTGCGTCTGCTGTTTAACAAACATATTTCAAACGGCAAGACTTTAATCTTAAAATATAAAATAAACAAAATATAGCTGTCACAAAACAGAATATACGTTGCTTTTTATACAATATTTTTTTACAGAATTACAGCTTGAAAACTGCTTATTATTTATTTTACAAAATCCTAATGATGCTAAAGCTCAAAACATAATTTAAAAATTTGAAAAAAATGTCACAACCGATGATTACGAAGTACTTACTTAATGGCTAAGTATAATGGAAATTAATTAAATGGTTTCAAATGTTTAATAAAAACACACCATCGCCATGACTAAAACGTTTACAAAATTTAAATAAATTTCTATTGTTATTTTTAACAAATTTTAAGTTGACAAAAATAAAAAACTGTCTTATTCTTCCCATATTGTTATTTAAAATTCATGTGTTATTTCATAACACCGTTTATACGTTAAGTTTTGTTCTTATGAAAGCTGTTACGGAATTGGAACTAAATTGTTTTGTTTACATAAGTAATTGAAGTTACTTTTTATTTCATTTTCAGCTTGTTTATGTTTCCTTTTATCATGCTTTGATTTTTAAAAAAAAATGCTTGATTTAAAAAAAAAATCAATGCTTTGATTTTAAAAAAAAAAACGTATATACAATAAAAAATAGCTTAAATAACGATTCCGTCTTTATTAAAAGTGTATGAATTTTCAGATTCTTGATAAATTCGTTGAACTGTGTTTGTGGAATAGGTAAGGATATAGAATTAAAACAGAATTAAATATAATAAGAATAGTGATATGAAATTAAAACTGAATTGAATATAATTAGAATAGTGATATGGAATATAACAGAATTAAGAAATTTCTGTAAATCAAAAATTCACGTAAATTATACAGATTATTGATATACCCAGTCAGACACAGTTTAGAAACCTTTGAATTAGATTATTTTCAAAATTTATTACTTTAAATAATCCGTTGAGTAAGATTGAATCTTTTATTCGGTTTTCTTTAAAAGCTCTTGTCGCCAAAGCTGTAAACCAATGTAGCGGCAACCACCATTTACCATATGGGAATGATACTTTTTCATACACGCTTCTTTCTGCTTGAGTCATTATTCCTGTAACAGAATAATTTTACTGTAATGCGCATTTGGAAAAACCAGATTTTATTTTCTATACGAACAATATACAATTATGATAATAGTTACAGTATTGAAATTTAGTTCAACCTAATACTTTATCGATGTAAAATTCTTTTAACATTCTCTTCATCGACTGTTCAAAATGACACAAGTATCCTTTTTATACAGTTAAAAAGTAAGATCAATCGGGATTTAAGGTTAATATGAAACAGTAATTTATGCTTCTGCAGTTTTTTTAAACTATGAAGTCTGTGTTAAATTTTTAAAAAATACTATAATCCTCCTTTTGATTTCATCTTTAAGTTTATGCATAAAAGCTATTGAATTTCTAAACATAAAACTTTAAAATTAAAAATCAGTGAATGAGAAGAATTTTTAAATAATTATATCTACTAAACAATTGAGAAACGTGTGTCTAATAATTTGCAAATTGTGAGTTTTTTTTTTGTTTCATTTACCTTATTTTAGAAGTTAATGAGTCCTTCGAATTATTCAGAAAAATTCCCTATCATAAATGCATTTATATTTACATAAAATGATATTTTTAAGTGAAAATATTATAAAATAAATATTTACTGTACCTAAAAAATATTTATTAAGGTATAGAAAATGAACTTGCAATAATATAACATTTGTTACAGAAAAATTATAAATATAAATTCTTGAATTCTCTTTGTTTATTATGCGATGTAGTAATAACTCTTGAACATGCTTTTGAACATTTATGAAGACAACCCCAAAATGGTTTAAAATTAACCTGTTTCTTGTTTAGTAAGTGTTTCAATCAATAAACGAATTAAAGATTTAAGTTTTTTTTAATCAGCAAAATCTTTTTGCTAACTCACTGTCATTACCGTCTTACTTGCTGGTATGGTCTCCTTGTCAGAGAACTCTTCAAAATACGAACTATTCAATTATAAGCATTCAAAAGTAGCAGAACAATTTGCTCGAAAGAAAGATCACAGAAAAGCCAAAAGAATTTTCTGACTAAACCAATACGTGTTCAAGTAATAAACATGCCTAAATTGAGCAGGACTGTCCAGAGCTGGATTTGCAATACAAAGACAGAGTAACTGGAGAATAATTATACTCAATAGATCAGCACGGAGAAGAAGGCTGAAGGCTACAAATTTGCAGTCAGGCGGCCAATGAGCTAAGCTTAAGACAAGTGCCTTCTCTGGGCGCCAGCGGGAAGTTGACGTACCGCTGACACCAACAAAATACTGTTTTGTTAGCCCAGCGTGAGCAGTCGGTCCAACGCAGACCTTGTCTTGCATTGCGCTTGCGTTAATAACTTAAACAAATGTTTATTTTGAATTTGTATTGATTTTGTTATTGCCAACCAGTGCTTTAGAGAACAAATAACGACTTATTCCAAGAGAAAACACATTATAGCTTACATAAAGGAAGAAGAGAAAGAAGCTATGTTTAATGTTAAAATCAAACTCTTGGCTGATTTCAATGCTCTGTTGGATGTTGTCCGCCATTGTTTCTGTCGTTAACATAACGTTGTCAACTGTCTCTTGAACTGTTTAGGGCTGGACTGGAACGACACGACATTCATTCCTCTCCCCTTTTAGTTTCAGACCACCTAAATGTCAACGGATTTATTGATCTGGTCTGACTCCGTCAGACCAGATGGGAATTAGTAACAACAACAACAACATTACGTTGTAATCCGACTGCACTTGATTCGGACGTCAGTCGTCGTTCATGCTGAGCGTTCGATGACGTATGCTGTGTAATTCACAAATTGACCAATCAGGGGTTAGCGTTTGCTTCAAGCTGACGTTTCGTAACGCCGACCTGTCCTAAGAAACCAGGCCTTTACGTTCTTTTAATTTCTTAATGTCTCCCAGTTAATTTCGCTTTCTTCAAAAATAAACCCAGAACATAAATTATCGTCTACTTGTAACAGAGTGTGTTTAGAATCACCCTTCAGATTTTTTTTAATTACTTTAAGTTTTAAAATTCAACGACTTATTTTGGAAAGTGTCGAGTTAGTAGTATATAATCCGTAAAAATTGTGACAAATAGAATTTTTAAACAATTTTGAAACGTTATTAAGCTCAATGGAACACACCTAAAAAGGAATTCCATGAAATAGTACAATCTTAAATTGGACAAAATGTAAGCTATGCCTCTTATTATAAAATTTAATCTTTATATACATAGAATCAAAATAAGTTTATACAACCTGCAGCAACTAGATGTTGTGTGCTAGGAAATCTTCTTTTTACAGACGTGCTTACAGCCTGAAAAGTGAGCACTTTCGCTAAAATGGCATAACGAACCAAAGTCCGCCTAATCATTCTACTTCTCTCATCGTTGCCTTGCACATAACAGCTGACGCTCAATGCTATCCTAAGAATATTGTGAAAATTACAAGATTTTACTATTTGTATCTTATAATGTATGAACATTTTGAAACGTATATTGTCAAATTAGAAAATATTTCTTTTTGTTAATTCCAGTTTGCAGTCGACATTATTTTTTTTTTGTTTATACAGTATTCCTCACATAACCACAGAAAAACAAAAATAACGCGATCAAAAAAAGAGCAATTGTTTGCAGAGTATTTATATGCTCTGATAGATGTCAATGGTTTCATTAGAATTGAGCAACTGTCCATACATCTGGGTCAACCATGTCTCTCCTGAAGAAGTTTTTATGGGACGACCTGATTTCAAACGAGCTGTGACCTCCCTAAAGTCTGATACGCAAGTTGATCAACATCTAACACCTAACTAAAGGCAAAAATCGAACATGAGATCAAAAATGATTTCCCACAAATGTTAATTCATCTCTTCAATAATCTAGCTAAGCGCGCTCGATTTGTCAATTGAAAGATTACAAAATTTAACATTTCTGGTAATTTGTCTTCAATATACATTCCTTTTTTATTTTGACCATTTGCTTTTCTGGGCTGTGTTTTATTTTGGACATACTGTATATTAGATTTATTTTGACTAAACATATTTATAAATCGGAGAAACTTCAGATTATGCATAGCCTGTTAGTTTTGAGTACAGATGCATTGACATTAACATCGAAAGCATTATTAAATTACACTCGTGTGATTATAGAAGATCTACCAGATTTACGTTCCACGGTAATACATAAAGTTTAATGTACAATAACAAGTACACCAAATTATTACAGTCATTTAATGACGCAAATTAGTAAATAAAGCTTTTAGTTAAGATAGAATGAAGAAACGTTTATTAGTTGATTAAGAATTATGAACTCAGTAATCCTAAATTCAAAAATGTGTAAAAGCACTAATTAATGCTAAAAATTAATGCATTCATAATACTATTAAAATTTATTAATAATATTAGAATTTAATTAATAATAATATCATTATTTGATTGAACTTACCTATCTGGCCAAGGAATTGTTTCATACTGACTCCACCATCTGCCAATAACAAGAGAAACGTAAAAGCCCAGTACGAATGACAGTGGTATAGAATTTGTAAAAGTTTCCACAAAGATCACCCACTTTTCAAATACTCTGGAAAAAAAATAATTTTCATCAAAATTTTTAATAATTATAAATATTTTATCTTTTTACAAATGAAGGATATTAAATACTGTTGCAATACAAGCATTAAAATATGTTAATATTTAAAATCATAACTTGAAGAAATTTTAATAGAAAGAGAAACAAAATATGCCTCTCAAATGGGTTTTTATCGTCCTCAATCAAATTTAGGTTCTAAGATCCAGATTAATCTTTTCCATTTTTAAATATTAAATAACTTTCTAAAGGAAAACAAGTTGTTATGTACCTTTCTATGTTTGATTTTAACTGTAAGCATGATAAGAAATTTCGTTTATCAGTATACAAGGCTCAAACTTTCTTTTATAGTAGCTGTAACTTGGGTATTTAGTTGCCTTGCTTGATTGAAAAACCCTGGCTTTTTAAGTTTTGCTGTCAGTATGAGTAAAGTCTTCCAAAAATTACTTTTTAAAAGTGTAAGGAGCCACCAATCTTAAAAATATAAAACCAATCACGCAATTAAAAATTATACGAGTTGCTAATGAAGAAACAGAGAGATTTCCTTCATAATAAATTAAAGTTGTCACATAAAGATCAGTAATATCAAATACCTGTATATCGGGAAAAAAATTTCGATTAAGAGATCTCTGAAGGATTCCGACAAGGACTGACCAACACATCCTTTTCTACGGATCTGTAGCTTAATTTTATGCTACCCTGCTTTGTGTTTTAAATGTTACTTGGTTAGTCAGTCTAATAAACCAATAATGGTTTATTAGACGTTCTTTAATTGTAGGAATTGCTTTTCTAGTCATAGCTCTCTCCTTGACTTTTATTTAAAGGAATTTATCACGTTTCCAGGAATTTATCACAATAACCTGTATGATATGCAAACAAAGCTTCGAGGTGCATGGCAGTAAAAGAATCGGAATCTAAATATAAACCAACTAAACTGCAATCAAGAAAATAGCAATCACTTCACTTCACCCAAGCGCATAGCCTTGGGGTTTCCTCAAGTTTTTAACTTTCAGCGACCCTATTGGGAATGTCACGGAACGGTATTCAACGTGGACAGCGCCTGAGCTGATGCCAAAACAACAGCAAGTTGGTCTAATAGAGAGGTATATGTGAAATGAGAAACATACAACTATATTAAAAACTTAAACTATTTTTGTAAAAAGAGAAGTGAGAGTAGGAAGGCTACTTTAAAATGGTTTAAATTACATAAAATAGTTTCCATTTTGGTGTCAGCGTAGAATGCAAATAGGAAGTTACTACGCCATTAGGAGATTTTGCAAAGTATTTATTTGCAATGAACTCGCTAAATTATAGTACATTCTGCGTCTCCCATATTACAAATTTAATTAGTTCATTTTCGCATATTCTACATTGAGGGATATGTGCCACTTTTCGTGCATAAAACCCTTATAATTTGTTAACTATATAACAATAAACTATATATGTATAACTTACACTTTCTGCTCTTCACTCAAGTAATATCTGTAGGTGACACTTAAAGCTGTATATGCCATGCAAAACAGTAAGAACTCTCTCCAAAGAATCTTATAAACTCCACCTTTCCATCGTAACAAAAGCTGTGCCAAACCACAAAATCTGGCTTTTGCCACATCCAGTGAATACGAAATTGTCATAATGCTATTAAATATCAACAGTTGAATTTGATTTAGATCTCGCTGCAGTTGTGGAATATCTAACCTTTTATTCCACTCTGTATGTTCTCACGTCATACACGATTCCGTAAAAGAGTCTGTTCATTGTCGTACCTAAAGATAAAAACAACAACATAAAATACACTGTAACTGCTTATAAACGAAGAATAAATAAATAAAATTTGAATAATTTCTTACCTCTCTCATAAACATCAATATAAAACAATATATCGCTCATGGGATGCAATAGCGGCACAACTCAAAAAATCAAGTTTTGAGATAAGTGGGTTTAAAGTTTTCATTGCTAAGGAAAATGCATAAGAAATGCTTCAGTTTGCTTAAACGAAGATTACCTTTAAGTTGAATTAGGAGTTGTGCTAGTATTGCTGCTGAAAGAATTTGTTTTTTCATATTTGCACCTGTTCTTAGTCCAAAACTCTTGCCACTATTGCAGCCCATGAGAGATATTAAGGTTTAAATTCATAATCCCTAACTTAAGTCCCTATATCAAATTATAGTTACAGACTTATGCAGGGCTGCGATTTGTTGAGAGCGAGAACCTAAATTTAACGTAAATAAAATTAATAAGAAATTTTCTCATAGACTTTAAATGAAGTGATCCAAAGGGCTCGATTTGATGGAATGTCAAAATTTTAAGTATGTCTTTTTTTTGTTATTAGGTAACCTGAACAGATGTTAAGTATACAGGCAGCTCTCAAAAGATGGGAGCATAATACAGTTCTAAATTTTGACAGCATTTAAGTTTAAATATAATTCACTTGAAATCAATTTCAGAGTAAATTTGTAGTTCAGTCTAAACATTAATAAGCATTAATTGTAGTAAAAATTCTCCGTGACTACCTAAAAAATTGCTTGATTAAAATCTTATTGGCCTCAAAAATATGCAGAAGGAAATAAAACTATTTTGTTTCTTCTGATTCATGTCTGGCAAGTCTTGAGAATTGGCGCTTATTTTGGAACGCTTGACTAATGCCAACTTTTATTTCCATGTGAATATTTTTGAGGCCGATGAGGATATCTTGCTGCTTGTTTCTTGGTTTTATTTATTTAATACTTTTAAAAAATATATTTTTCTAACCAAAAAGAGCCAATTTTGGACATGAGTCAGCTGGTTAGCTGAGTCAGTGTAACTATGTATATATAATTAAAAGTTAAAGATAGTTTGAGGGTTCCAAAAGAACGATAATATTCTTAAACGGCAGTACTAGATAGCTTATTTTAATAGTTTGAAAGTTTTTTTGAAAAATTTGTCCAATGTTTTGATGCATGCTCAAAGGTAGCAACTTATTTATCCATCAAAGTAATTTTTCAAAAATTTTTAAGTATTTATGAAGTTTTTGAAAGACCATTTTCATGCATATAAAATTGCGAATACTAGAATCGTGTAATGATTACGATGCCGATATTTCTCAAATTTTTTTTTAACTGATTTCCTAATCTGAAAGAGTTTGCCCTTAAAGTATGAAAAATATCTTTCATAAAAATTTTGAGCCAAAGCGTCCTTGAATTCAATTTTAAAACTAAAATTTGACTCGTATGTTAGAAAATCTTATACAGAGACGCAATTATGTAAATAAGATGAGATATTTAATAAAAATGAGCAATGTTATGTCTACAGATAACTGCACATGAAATGTATTAGTCATCCATCAATTTCTTTCTAACTGGAAGTGAAAAAGAAATTTATTTTACAAATGGCACTAAACTACATTTTTAATCTCTTATTTTGTGTAAGTATTTTTATTAAATAAAGTGGAAAAATATATATTTAGCATTAATTTATAAAAACTCTGAATTTAACGAGTTTAAAATTTATCTGGTTGTAAAGTGAATTATACTAATATTTTATCTTCGTAAATTTGTTTTCATAATTCGTAAATTTAACAATTGCATTATCCTTAGTAATCATGTAAATTTTTTACCGAACACAGGGAAACTTTTATGTTCATGTACGGCGAAAAAATGCACTGAAAAAAAAAGAGAAACGGAAAAATCACTTAAAAAAATGCGATCAATTATAAAAATGTAAAGAATTATTTTGTCTGGTTCATTGATTTCAAATTTAATGCAATCAAATATTTATTCAAATGCAATTATAATATTATTGAAAAATATAATATACGAGGACTCATTTAAAATTTCGAAAATGAAATTCTCTGTTCCCATTTTTTAGCTAATCGATTAGGAATATTTTTAAAAAAATTTCTTTATTCCAATAATTATATTTATTGTATTGCGATATAAACGTACACAAAAAAAAAATTTTAAAAAAATTGTATTAAAAGAAATAATATTTCGAATATTTTTTGCAAGTCACAAAACTAATCTCAAGCAAGACTATAGTAAATTGATACATAGATAAGAATTACTATTGAGACCAGCTCCGTACCCATCTCTCACTAACCCAAAGAATTCTGTTTCAAATTTCTGTTCGGATCACTTATTTAATAAGAGCTATATATCAGTAGCTTATATTATATAAACATGTCTATATATTTCTTTATTTAAAATAATAATAATTGCTGGTACTATAAGCTTCATTTTGTGTTTAGAAAAAATTTATACGCAGCGAAAATAAAAAAAACATTAGTAAGAAAGATACTCACATAAAATAAGAGTTAGATCCCATGATTTCTTAGAAACATGCATAATGAACACAATATAAAGAAAGCAGTAAAAGTAAAACTTTAAGGACTTTGTCTTATCTCTTATTATTTATGACAGCTGATATACTTGGCGTTCTTATAACACATAATTGCTGGCAGAATTTTTAAGTACGTATTTATCTCTTTTAAAGCTTTAAATTAAGTAGTTTGCACCTATTAAAGTGTTGCATGCATTAGATTTTAAATATAAAATGTAACTCATTTTTTTATGAGACTAGGACACTACTCCCCCCTGCTAGCTGCGCTCATCAACCCCCGAAATTGATTCTCATTGTTTATTTCTTTCTAAACGTCAATATTTTCCATGAAAACACAGAATGTTTTGGTTTCTAAAATATACAAATATATTAGCCTTATCTAAGAAACTTTTGTTAAATATTAAGCATAATCAAATGGAAAATTACCTGGACTTGAAAAAGAATCACCTGAACTAAAACTTAAGAACACAGAATGTGTGACTCAATAAACGATATGAGTGAGAATGAATTTTACTCGTTGACGAAACTTATAACAATTCAAATGGGAAGTGATTCTCATCGTTCTTTATTAATGTTTTTATTTTTGAAGTTTTGCTACGAATGTTAAGATCTGGAAACACGTAATATCTTTCCCTCTTTTTTTGTACCACTTTCGATTGACATATATTCGAACTCGAGTTACTAAAGTAATGATCTCGTGAAAGAAAAAAAAATTTCTACAAAAATCGATAAATAGTCAATATTTCTAGCAAAAAATGTTTTTAAAAAAATCATGAAAAAGCACTTAAATTTGCGATATTTTTCAAACAAATGGGAATTTCTAAAAAAAAAAAAAAACTCGTATAAATTAATACAAAATGGCCCTATCAACTTATTCAATTTCAACTCTGTAGTTACATTTAAAGGGTCAGTAGCTCGACTAATATGTTTTCTTTTTTACTACAAATGTAACAATGATTGATTCTTGAACTAATCGTAATTTTTTTAATTCCCTCAAACTCCATCGTATACTTTTCTATATAACTTTATAATTTTAAGTTTTATCGATTTTCAGCAGCAAAACAAAATGTAAAGGAGTAAATTTAGAAAAAAATTCGCAACACAGTATCGAAAATTTCATTAACTTAGAAACATATTGGAAATTAAAAAAAAAAAAAACTCTTAGTTAAGTCTATAAACAAATGTGGCCCTTTCAGCATGCCAAATTTCAACTCTGCATTTGCATTCCTGAGGCCCGTCTGAAAGACCTGAAAATTTAAATTTTCATTTAAGAATCAAGCGAAGTTTAGAAAGAAAAGTAAGCAAAATGCTCCAATCTGAAAATTTAAATTTTCAGGTAGGAGCAAATAAATGTCATTTTATATTTAAAAGGTCTGTAGACTCTAGTTACTTACTAACCACTTTTTCCTCAAACCTTATGAGTCGGTGTCTGATATCGATGATATGTACTGTTCGTTTCGTAGCTAATTTTTGCAAACTGTTTTTTTTTAGCTTGGATTAAATTATATTTAAAAAAAAAATTGTATTAGAAATAATATGCAGATATAAAAAGCTAAAGAATCAAAATAATATAAATTGACAAAATTCAGTCGAAGGTCGTGGTAAGTATACTTACCACCACTTTTTAAAGTTCAGGGTGAACTTTTTTACCACTTTTTATTTCGGTTTCCATTTGCTAATTACTTCAGCTTTCTTGAAGTGCGTTTGAATAAAATTGGAAACCATTTGCTAGTTTAAGAAAACGTATAAAAGTTATAAGACACACATAATTTCTTTTGAAGTTAGTAGCATTTATAAAATTTATTTTATAAATAACGAAAAATAAAAGTTAATAATTTACTAATAGGTCGTATTAAATATACTTACCACCAAAAAAAATGGTATTAAAATTTAGATTAATTTTTTACAAGCTAAGTGAGATATTTTTTCTTATATCAATTACTATTCTTATATATCAATTTCAATTCCAAAAATAAATTAATTTACCTTTACTAGAAATAAATGGCCCATTAAAGGGTTAAAAAACTTAACTCTTATTCCTCGTGAATCTTTCATGACCACAAGTCGATGGATTCTGAAGGATCAAAAACTTTGAATAGCGACATTGGGCATTTTAATGAATGTTTTGTTTTTCAGATTCTCTCTTTCTGCATTGATATACTTTCATCGATCATTAGATTATACGATCATTAAACAATTTTCATAAAAAAACGAACTGGGAAAAGTAACAGGTTGTATTTAAGTTGCCACTTTTGTTGACCCGTCACGTGGCGGGGGGCTAGTGGTTATTTACAGGTCTACCGTATGATATTTTTTTCCTCAACAAGTTTAACAGTCAATATTTCACGAACAAATAATGGAGAAAAAAAATTTATGCCATCGTAATTCCTGTCCACTTTCTACACACCTTTGTAATTTCAAGTTTCGAATTCTTATAGTTTTTGGTAACGTTAAGTTGAACACCCAAAACAACGGCGTCAGCCGCAGCCCTCACGCATTTTAAAGACAGAGATAAATATTTTTGAAACACATAAACGTTTTAATCAAAAACAAAGCAATAATATTAACTTAAAATTGAATTAAAATAGAAAACAAATCATATGCTTTTCAATAAAAATGTAGCTTTCAATTTACAAAAGAACTATTGTTACGAACTAACTTTAAAGACTTGATTTTTATTTTCCTTAATATATTTATTTTTAAAAAAAATGTATCGGTCAAAATGATTCAAACAGTTCTAAATATTTAGAGGGTTCTTTTAATTCTAGATTCTATGAGCGAAAATAAATGGCAAAAATCTGCTTCGCGATGTCTCTTGGACTAACTAAAAAATTTTTCCACACTTGATGCTCCTTACCAAATATGAGAAATTATCTATTTTACGCATCCTAAAAGCGAAGTTTTTAAAACAGATTCAACATCTATAAAAATTGTCATTGGCTGCTGGTTCAAAATCAGTACTACTGAATTTAAAATTGAACTAAATTGAATTAAAACATGCAATGTTTTCAAGGTAGATCAACTAGTTTGGATAAGGTGAGTATGCAAGTGAAACAGATAAAATAGGTAAATGATAGCTTTCACCAATTTTTAATCTGTTGGTGATAACCTTTATTTATTAATCTAGTTTAATGTTAGTTATTTATTAATCTAGCAAACTATGGTTGCAAACTCCCATCACACTTTTGATACGCCGAAATTTGACACAGAATTAAAAACTGGAGTTGTTCATTTACGTCGCACTAGAGCTGCCCAATGGGCTATTGGCGACGGTCTGGGAAACATCCCTGAGGGTGATCCGAAGACAAGTCATCACAATTTTGATCCCCTGCAAAAGGGATGGCACCCCTACTTCGGTAGCCCGACGACCTGCACGCGAAATCGAGTACTTCACGGTAGAACAGCTTAACGAAGTCCAATGCAGCACACCCTCGGTCCCTACGCAGACTGATACAAGTGGTCACCCACCAGCACATTGACCGGAGCCAGTGATGCTTGACTTCGGTGATCTGCTGGGAAGCGTGTCTTAACGAGTAGTCCACTGCGGGACTATTAGAAACTGGAAATAGTTTGCTTATTTGATTGTTGAATATATAGCCAAAATACCACTCCCAAAACCTAATAGGGCTCTATATCAGTGACAACTGTGGTTTACATTCCAATCGTTAAACATTGTTTGCGATTCTGAGAATGTTCTAATTTCTTAACTTGGGCTAAGGCTGTTTCTAGTCGGGTGAGTAATGTGCTGGAAGTTATTCTCGTCGAGCATAACGAATCTTTAAAATGTAAAAATCATTATCAATATCATCATGAAATGTCAAAACTTTTAAAATTGGTTAAATTCTTACTTAAGCCATAAAAAAAATTCTCCTTTGTTATTTTTGTATGAATACTTCATTTTTAACGAATATTTCAGACCACAGGTTTCCAAACTTTAGCCATTATTTTCTTAATAACTATCAAATTTTGGAAGAATTGAAATAGATTTTCAGAAAAGATGAGATTATTTTTCTTCCAGAAAATTAAGTAGGGCGGTAAAAATTATCGTATCGCTGATATGACTTCTTATTTTCCATATTTTACTAACTTTTCGTGAAATGGACCAGGATAGAAGAGTCAGGAATAGAATCGTATTAATATAAGGATTATTATAATTTCATATTGTATAAAATTTTACGTTAGAAAGAACAAGTAATAGCAAAATAGAACTATTTGGGAAGAAGATTAAAAACTTATACGAATATTTAACACGAAGGGGAAATGTTTTCTTTTCCCGAGTTTTCAAACGTTTTTCAAGAACCTCCACTCAATTTATTCAAAGGCCAACAAAAGAAAGTATTTCGTCACCGACTGAAGATTGCTAAAGAAAAACAAAATTTTTTTGTAATAAATATCAGAGAAGTTTTTCTCTGAGGATTTGGAGAAGTACATTTGCTTTTTTCCTTCCTTGAATTATGTATTCTAAAGTGATGGCTGTTCTCGGAGAGGCATCAGCTTATTATCAACCACATTAAAGTTTCTCAACATATAATAATGGGATAAAATTAGGAGTTACTGAAACAAACAGAATGGCTTCTGTTATGGAAAGAAAAACCTGTTCCTATAATTGAACAGAGTATCGAATTCCACCACTTTATCTAAGCTCTATATGGTTATCTAAGTCCTGCGATTGCATCAAACTTGATGGTTTATGGAATACTTTTAAGAATCATGGAATACCATAAAAAAATTCGAAACATTATTTAACCCTTTGCTTATGGCTGGTACAATAAGTGGACCAGAATGTCTTCATCATTCTAAGAGCCGTAAGCAAAAGATTTTTACACCAGCAGTTGCTGTGACTTGGTAACTGGCATAATCAATGAAAATTTTGAAATCGAAACTGGAGTAGGAGCAGGATTACTTTCGGCATTTTGCTTACCGTAGTTATTGGCTAGATAATGAAGAAAACAACACTAAATAAAAGACAGGGAATAAGAATTGAAACTAGAGTAAGGCTGCATTACTTCAGGACTAAGCTTTATAGTAGTTGTTGAGGGGATAATGAAGAAAACTACACAGAATAAAATATAAAGAATAAGAGGTAATTTTACAATACTGATGAAAGTTCTAGACTACGCTATTGAGATTGAAAACAAAATGAGAAAGTCCTAAATTTACATGACAAAGAATGGTTTAATACATTAAGATCCTCTAGCTAGAACAAGCTATTTGCGACATAAATCAACTCCATTTAGAACATTTCAAATCAATTATTTTGTTTTGCAGAAAAATGTATGTATTTAGACCAAACCTCAGATTTTTTTTATAATATTCTGCTCAACTAGTATTATGCTAAAAGGTATGTATAATTATTTATTTTATTTAAATTAAGTAAGCATTTCTATTATCATTAGATTTTCTTGTAACATTAAGAACTTGAGAAAATTTTCCTTTGCATGTTCTAAATCATATTATAACAGAATTATTCTACAAGTTTAAAACTTAAATTCTTTATTTTCTCAATTAAATTACAAACAACTAATCTTTCTTTAACATTTAAATAGTGTTATACTATGTTAAGAATTTTAAAAAATCTGAATTTTGTTCTTTTAGAAATGTCTCTCACAAACAAAGAAAAGAAATGGCACGTCGTCGTGCAGAGATTGCAACAGATCCTCAAAAGAGAAAAAAGTATCAGAAATGGAAAAAAAGAAAGAAAAAATTTATAGCAGTCAATGAATAAAGGAATCCAAAGCAAAAGAAAGTACCTGTGTTCTATCAATATATAGAAAACAAGCCAATCCTCTGCAGATGGTAAACCCGATTCAAGAGCTTCCTCAATTGTAATGGAATTCAAATAAAACTAATCGTTAAGTAAAGCAATCAATAAAGCAACTAAAAATCTTCTAAAGATACCAAACGAAATAAAATCTGTTGTAAAAAAATTAGAAATTAAATGTGATCCTGAATTATCAAATATTATAAATTAAAAAAGGATCAATGCAATGTTTAAACGAAAAGAGCAAAATTACTGTAAAATAATTAAAACAGAGGTGACATTTCTTGGCTGGCAATTGACAGAATGATTATTCGCAAAGTTTCTTCTGAACAAACTTTCAAAAAAAAAATTTATAATTATGTTATTTGTTGAATTCAATAAGAACATCTTATGCCCCGTCTAAAGAAGTTCACCCTTAAGTAAAAATTGGTTTACCAAAGTTTGCCGAGTTGACACCCAAAGCACATTAAAATATTTGATAAAATACTTCACAATGTCTGTGTTTGCTCTCATTATCAGAACTATATATTGATAGAAACTACATATTGATAGCAATTTTCACATTGAAGAGTTATGCACATCGCAAATGTGCATAACTCTTCAATATGAAAATTGCAACAAGAATATATTGAACTTCTGACCCATTTTGTGATGTTGAGAATAAATCATAACATATCGCTGGTTCAAAACTAAAACGACATTTCTGCAATACGTTGCAGAAGTGTTTTAGTTTTGAACCAGCGATATATCCGATGGCAAAAATCGATTTGTGGATGAATGAATGGAGTATGATTGGGTCCTCACTGCAAAACAGGCTGTGACGTATGTGTAGCTGAAGTCGTATTCTCGGCCATAGATCGCGCCACTGAAAAAACAAGAAACGCATTCTCTGCCTCAAATATTTGCATGACTTCAAGCACACTTACTGGTATTGTCCAGTGGCATAAGTAACTATAACAACTAAAAATAAATTATTTATGATCATTTTCTTATTAACGTTAAAATAATCGCCATTGTCGTTAATAGCTTTTCCATGTGTGTGCTTAAATGGGAATAGTAAGTAACTGAAAAGCTTTAGAAGAGATGTTTCTCAATTTTAGAAAAAAATGAGATGGCCCAAATTCAGTGGTCTCCTCCTTCAGTGGCTCTTATCCGATATGGACTTCTTCACGAGATACATAAAGAACATTGAATACAACGTCACCTTAAAAATCGAATCACAGCCGCGATCGAAACATAAAAATCCTGAGGTATTCCTTAAGACACTAAGAGTGAGATATTTATCGTTTAGATATCCATCAAAAAACTAATAGCACCCACATCGATAGGTACTGAAGTGGATAAAAAAAGCAATTTAGCACGCCAAATTTATGTCGATATTACTTTGTATAATACAATTTTGCGATCCCTGTATTTAATAATGTTGTTAAAGGAATGTTAAAATTGTATTTCGTGACTTTGTACAAATATCCCAATTAAACTGAGACTATTGTTTCAACAGCTTCCATATTGTTTCCGATTATGTAATAATCAGACATATCAAGGAATACTTTTCCTTTACTTTGTCGTCACATGAATCTCTTTTTTTCCCATCATGCTTTACAAATTTAAATATTTATTTATTTTGCGGATACTAAACTGTATAAAAATAAGGTAGTCGCAGTACTTTATTTACGTCACTCCAGAGCAGCGAGATGAGCTAGCGACGATCTGGGAAACATCACAGTCTGCAGAGGGAATGGCTCCCCCGCTTTGATAGTCTGAGAACCCGCACGCGAAGTCGAGAATTTCTACACTAGAACAATTTAATGAGGATCAATACCACACACCCTCGGTCCTTTCCATGCAAATTAAAGCGATCACCCACCCGCTCACTGTGATGCTTGTCTCCGGTTATCTATTGGGAGCCATATCTTATAGATATTAACAAAAAAAAATAGTCTTAACCCTTTTGAAGGTCGTGGTAAGTATACTTACCACCACGTTTTACCACTTTTAATTTAGGTTTCCATTTTTCAATGACTTCAGCTTTCTTGAAGTGAGATTGAATAAAATTGGTAACCATTTGTCACTTTTAAAAAACGTATAAAAGTTATAAAATACATAATTCCTTTTGAAGTTTGTAGCATTTAAGGAATTTATTTTATAAATAAAGAAAAATAAAAGTCATTAAGTTCCTAATAGGTCATGTTAAATATACTTACCACCAAAAAAATGGCCTTTTTATAAACTAAATAAGTTTTTTTTAAATATTAATTACTGTTCCTAAAACAATTTCAATTCCACAAATACTTTAATTTACCTTTTCTAGAGATAAAGGGCCCATTAAAGGGGTAATAACTATGGTGAAAAGGATTAAAAAGTAAACATGTAATTTTGCGAAATAATAATAAGAAACGTAAAAATTCAAATGAAATCATTTCCATTTAACATTGTAAATATCTATTATATATAATTCTCTTACGTGGCTCCCAAATTTTGGCTGTATTTCTTTTCCGCCGATGGCAACGTTTGCTTTGTTTTGTTTACGTTTAGAAAACAATAAAGCATTCTGTCTTTTAATGATGTGTTTCAGATCTAATATGTATAATTCTCTTACGTGGCTCCCAAATTTTGGCTTGAAGTACTTTGTACAACTAAATAAGATTCTTTTCACAACACTTAAATATTTACTTTATTTTCTTCATTTATAGAGAAAACAGTCGGCAAAGAATTCTGTTAGGCTAAAAAACATTTCGCTAAAAAAAATAATGAATTCTAAAAGAAATAAAAATAAACAACTTAAAAAATAAAAATGCTGTTGCCAGCCATAGAATTTTTTGAAAGTTAACTTAGCAACATAAATCAAAATGACATAGAAGCGCAACTAGATCAAAATTATGATACCTGAGCGCTTGACGTAACAAATCCTTCAATTCTAAAAGTGTTGTATCGCCAAATGCCCAAATTAACAATTGTGTTCTTAAAGAAATTCTATAAAAAGTTTTAAATAAACAACCTACTTCTACAACTGCTTCTTGAAGAACTTGGCTCATTGATTAAAAATATTGTTTTAATTTTACAGTACTAACTTTACTTCTACTTTCATTATTGCTATGACCCTCTTTCATTACATTTTACAACTTCATGCTAAATTTGAGGACTTTAAGTTGTTTTGTGGTTGAATACTGACATTTAGAAATGTGTACATAAAAAAAATAATATTTAGAGGTTAAGAGTTGCCTCAGAAAAATTTGAATTGTTGACATTGAACTTAACAATGGAAACAATCGTTTTTGTGAAAAATTGAATTGTATTGTTGACATCAAAACTAAAAATATTGTGTTTCAACTTAACAATACTACCTTAATTTATACTTTAGAATTGCCTCGGAGAAATTTGAATTGTTAGCAATGACTTAAACAAAAAGTTTTATTTTAACTGACAAATACTATATTATAATTTTAACTTTTTCTATGACTATACTCATTTTCTTACTCTTTTCTTTGTTTTTTATACATTTTATATTTTTGTGATAAAATAAAAAACTTATAGTTGTTCTGCTTCTGAACACTGATGAAAACACAAAATGATGGGCTTCATCAACAATCAAAAATATATACATTTATTTTACAAATTCCATATTATTAAGGTGGCGCCCTTCAGAGAATTAAAAATACAAAATTATCTTCATCAAAGCCGATGCTTTACATCCGGCGTTCAGTGGCAGACTACTATTTCATATTGTTTTACAACACATGGCTTTAGCCCTCTGGTGGGAAAGACTTTAAAACAAAACTTACAACAGTTACTTTTCTCAACAACTGAAATTTAGAATAGTGTGATTAAGAAAAATATGTGAACTGTTTGCAATTTCAAATTAATATTGAAATGTACAGGTTTAGAATTTTCTACAGTGAAAAGTTTTCGGAACTTCAGTATTCAAAAAAGTATACAAAAGCTAGACGTTAAGAACGTATCCAATGAGCGAGCAAAGCGAGCATTGGATTGCGAAGCAATCCGAAATGAACTGCGAAGGCAGTTCCGGGGGTTGGCGAGCACCAGCGAGCAGGGGGCGAAGTCTCCTAGTTATGATGAATTATTACTATGCGTCTCATTTAATGGTTAACAAAAAAGTTGCCAAGTCAGCAGGCTACTTTTTTAATGCAGCAAGGTGTATTTGGTAACTATATATGCTAATCAGAGTGTAATGCCCTCTATAGCAACTGCGCAGTAAATTACCGGGGATTTGCAAACGTAGTGAGTAATACACTTTCAATACGCATAAAACTCAAATAATAATATTTTAATACATATTTGATATGCAAACTGAAACAATTAAAAAATTTTTTTATCTTTTCACTAAATAATAATACAACAAACAGATAATAGATTAAAATCATTGAATGTTTTTCATCCAACAAATTCAAAAGTGAAACTTAAAACATTGTATTCGTTTCAATAAAACATCCTAAAATTTAGTTCAAAATATTGTAATAACACCGACTGAAAATTTTATTAAAGTAAACAAATTATATAAACTGTCTATTTTCAAATATTTTAAATTAAAATATCATTGTATTTCAGAAACAGCATTTTTAGTACTAATGAAGCAATGACATTTACATTGTTTCTACATAAGAATTATCAGTACTAAACATTTCACTTAATTTTAAAACATTTTAACTCAATTTATATTTAAATCTATATATTTAATCTTGAAAAATATATGTATTTAAAAATATAGATTAAAATTTGCTTACAACCATAGCAACTGGTTTAAGTTTCTGTAACAATAATTGAATATACTTAATTTGATTAAATGTAAAACATGTTGATGGCACTGTTACAAAGAAATTAACAAGTCGTCTTACTTCAGTTTTTGATAGCTTAAGTTTTTTTCCTCGAGGGAATACTAATTTATCCCTAGATTACTTTCGTTTGTTTTAAAACCGGTTAGTAGATTTTACATCTGCAAGCTTATTAACTCATTAGAACAACTGATCAAAATTTAAACTTCAATGCTAAGTTGCGGTTGTTAATACAAATAGTAAAAATAAAGTTAAAAAACAGAACGAGAAAAGTGTTTTGAATTCTACAGTTAAAAACTATGAATAAAATAAAAAAGTTGTCGAAGTCATAAATTGATTATAGCACTGAATGTGGCGATCCATCTTCATCTTGAGTCGTAATTTTGGGCATATCAATAGTCACAGAATGGGAATCGTATTCATCTTGAGCAGCTTGTATTTGATCGGGCGTATATTCATCTTCAGAACTGTCATCACTGCCGAGAGAACAGCACGATTCGTATCCTTTTAACTCACAATCTTTGCGATGACCCTGAGACTTAACGACACGATTAAGTTCTTCTAATACTTTACTCGCTTCAGCGACTAAATTCTGCACGTCATCGAGTTGCGTGGTTGAATTAGCATCACTCTCATCAACGCGCTCTAAACTTAATGCGGAAACGACCCTTGAAGGTTCCTCTGGAATCGACGCCAAAGTCAGGGGATTCGGATCTGATTCTATATTCTGATCCCGTTCCAACTTTTCTTCTAGATTTGAATTTTCGTTAAAATTAGCCACAACTGGGGCCATGGCTGCTGCCATAGCTGACACTATTCCACTTCCTTCACAGTCCGGAAGACTGCCATTGGGAATATTGTTATTCTCAGCCTGCTGGACATCATAAAGTTTATGTCTGTGTCGGCTGATGCTGCTAGGATGAAATGATATGCTTGAAGCTCGACTGTGCGCTGGACTAGTTCTTTTTGTCAAGCTTGATTTTCTGCTGTCTGCAGGAGTGCTTCCACGTGGTTGTGCCAATCTTTCCATGGTCGCAGTATATGCTGGATTAGTGTGTCCTTGAGGATCTTTCGTACTTTCAGACTTGGTAGATCTTCGACGTATACTCTGCCCGAAATTAGAACCGAAAATATTTGCGAGAAATGACGGTCTGTAACGTACTCCAGCCCCTTGCTTTACAGAATCACTAGGGTACATATTGGCATCACTGTCTTCTTCTAACACAAGATCCATTGGAAGGAATTCTGCATCAGCTGGATGGACTCTACAATAGAGAATCAACACAATTAGAAAATAATTTGATGAAAACTTAGATATAGTTGGTTAATTCTATTAGTACGTTGAAATCGAAAGTATATCCAGTTAACAGAACGTTTCTGGTTAGTATTTATTTTAAATGCAAAAGTTTTTTTTTTAAATTCTAAACTACTCTAAACAGATTCATCGGATATTTTATACTCCAAATAAACATTTTATTTATTTATCGCATTTTTATCATATTTTTTTTAAAAATTAATTATAAGTCATTATGAATGTTGCAACTATCTCAACACATTTAGTTATTGTTCTATTGTTTGGTGAAATTAAGATTTAGAGGCATAAAATCTTGTGTTTGTGCGATGCGATCCTTACCATCGGAATCACAAAGAACATTAGATGTTGTCTCACAGAGATCCAACCGCAATTTTTCTAAACCATTATTAGAACGCAGATAATTATCAGCAAAACGGAAGGGGCTTTTTCCATATGCGTTGCTCCAAGCATAATTTGTTTTTAGTATTAAATGAAAAAAGAAAATATGTATATTAGATAGAGTTAATAATAATAAGTAATTAGAGAATAATAATAATAGAGCAATAAATAATAATTTATAATAATAATAGAGTTAATAATAAATGTTTTAATAGACCCAGAGACTTTTCGAACAAACAGTGTAATATCATTGCAATTTATCTTAACCAAATTTTATCTATTTTCTCACAGCGGAGTAATTTAGATAATAAACTCAATTAGTATGAAGCAAAAATTAGCAGCGGAATGTGTGAAAAGTTTTAATTTTTGCAGATAATAAGCAATTAAAATGAATATATCAGGTAGTTTCAAACGGGAAAAATTTTAAATTCGGAAAGATAAAAAAAAAAAATTTTTTACGAGCTTTAAGTACCAAAAAATTAAAGGAAATATATCTAGATGTTAAAACTAACTTAATTCGTACAATTATATTGAATCCAACAGCCTTATGAACTATTTACTTCTCTCCACTTTTTTAATTTTTCCCGGTTGAGGGCACCACTGTTTATATATATATTTATTCAACTCACTCTAAATTGAAAGCAGATCCCAATTGCGGATTATCAATATTTTTGGCTGATATTTTTGTTTGAGGCAATACTGGTAGTAGCTCATCCCAAAACTTGTCTTTGCGCAACTTCGGATGTTTAGCATGAAATTGATCCACAACGACAAATACTACCTATAAGGGCAGAAATTAATAATGAAAAATGAATATAATAAAAAGAGAAAAGCCAACGTTAAAACTCACAAATACAAGAGAATAGGAAACAAATTTCGATGCTACATTAGAGGTTCATCTTTATACAGTATAATATTTAAAATTGGCGACAAATATGAGGTATAAAGTAAATCAATAATAATGAACTAGCCAATAAGAAATTTGGAGTTGAAGCGAAATTTTTTTCTCCTTTGATAGAGAACTAAAATAAATATTTTGTAACAAATGATATTTTTAAAACCCTTTGTCAGAACATAACTTTCTTTTTTATATGATCTTTAATATGGCAGTTTAAATTATTATATGTAATAATGAACAAAATTCTATTTAATAAATCACAAAAATAGTAAAAACTGCATTTTTTAAAAGCACGGAAATACCGTAGTAGTTGGAGGGTATGATGCAGTATTTAAAAATCTAGAAGACAGTGGAGGTGTCTACGTTGGAAATGTGTTTCATCGATATTTATCTGTTTATTACTGTGACACTGAATATGATGCTCTAATGTGGCATTCAAGATTCTTTACTAATTTCAACTACTGCAACATAATATTTTTGAACTTACATGTTATTTTCGTTTTTAATATCATCATCACAATTTTTTTCTCCTTAATTTAATGTGATTAAAAAATGTTAATAAACCATATCCCAGTTCTGCAGTTTCAATAGTAAAGTATATTTTCAGTAGTAAAACTATGATTGCACTTACATGACAATTACGATCCAAACACCAATTAAGTTCAAAATCATCATCATCTTCACCATAAGGATTTACAATTTGCTCAGCTACCTGATATTTAAGAAAAAAATTAAATTAATCAACACAGTCAAGAAACAAAATAAAACATCAGGGTTTCCATGAATCTATAAGAAAATTTATAATGGTTGAAATGTTGTAGATGTTAGTAAGAGTTACTTTTTTTAAGATACCACTTCAATGCTACAAGGAGTCTATTTTTTGTAGGGATACATTTCTTTACAAAATAAAAATAGTGATGATCACAGGTGCATTAAATAATCGAGATTTGTCTTTTTTTTTCATAACCACTATCTAATTTTTCTAAAGAAACCGTATTGTGCCTAATATAGATTTAAATACGTAGAAAATAAAATAATTGATCAACGACTTAAATATAAATTTATGTACAGTAAGTGATGATTCCTAAAATTGGGTACTTGCAACTTGAGAAGAAGCCGATCACTGAGAAGCAGACATGTGACCTCAATGTCACCTGATCGTTTATAAGTAAGATGGCGTGATATAATTGAGCTCTACATAAATTAAAATGTTAAATAATGTGAAGTTAATTGAATACAACGCCGTATCACATGTTGAATTTGTTAAAATATAATTCTTTTTTGTCTACGTCTATTACTTAGATTTATTATTTGTTTATGTATTTTATTATAACCGTGATATATTTTTCTTTTGTGTACCTGGCAACTTCAGTGCTTAGTTAGTTTTTTTTTTTAATGTTCTGCATGGCTTCATGCCTGTCTTTGTTTTAAGTATGAAATATATGATGAAAGAATATATCTCTAAAGAGAATTGATACTTGATGGACTAGGCTTACTCGAAATAGATTGGAAAGATCTTTCGAGTAATTGTTAACGTAAAGAAAATCCGCTTTTCCACAACCAATCTACCTACCCACACAGGATTGCCAGACTGAAATTTTAAAAAAAATACTACAAATTTATTTGAAAAAATATTACAAAATGTTACATATTTTTAAGAGGCATCTACAGTAGTTTTTGGAAGTTTGAACATGAGTAATTTTGTAAACGAGTCATTCATTATTAGTTATAGTAAATCAGCAGCTTCAAATTCTATGAATTAATATATAAATCTCTTTAATTGCGAAAGAAATAAAATTGCATTAATTTTTGTTTCGGCGTCTCTCTTTTAATGATTTCTCTATTTGAGATGATTCAGATGGTGACATCCTTGTTTTGTTTACTTCTTGATTTTGTTTAATTCTTAACGCATGAATAAATAAATTTACTATTATACACAATGAAGAGAAGTTGTCAAGACATGGTAATAGTTCTGCTAGAAAACAAAAATATCGTCAAAGATGAGAAAAAGATGATAGGTTTAGCAAGTCGTTATCTCAAGACAAAACTGGAAATGCATTTTGCAAAGATTGTGGAGCATCTATAATGCCGCGTAAAGCTAGTCTTTTGCAGCACGTAAAAGCTAACACACATGTTGAACACATGAAACATTTTTCGGAACTCATTCTATATGCAAATTTTTGACAACACCAGTGCAAGATAATATTAAAAACGCGGAGCTAAAATTTTACGCAGCTTTTGTAGAACACAATATACCATTCAAATTCATGGATTATCTTTGGGACATAATATAAAGTTCGCTCCCAGATTCAGTAATTGCTAAAAGATTATCACGTAAACGAGCAAAAGCAATGCCTTTGACAAATAAAAGTTTTAAGTGTGCACATGAAGAAAAAAAAACGCTTTTAGACATCACAGGTGCTAATGATATTTCGAAAGTAAAGTATTCAATTATAGTAGATGAACCTACGGATATATCAGTTAAAAGCAATAATGCTATTGTTATAAAATATCATTCAAAAGCTGATGAAACTGCTGACACGAAATTGTGAAATCTTGTTGAATTAAAAAACGAAGCTGGGGGATTTTTTAATTCCCTCTCAACAGAAATCCTTAACAATGACATGCAACTACATACTTTTCTGCAGACACCACCAATGTTATGTTTGGTGAGCACAATAGTGTTGTACAAAATCCAAAAAATGAATTGCCTAATTGCATATTTGTGAATTGTGTTTACCACCCAACTGTAAGTTAAGCATGTCTAAAATTTCCTAGAGATATTGAAGATTTGATACATGATAAACATAATGATTTTTCCTACAGCTCTAAAAAAAGAATAATTCAAGGAATTTCAGAACTTCATCAATACTCCAACACAAAATATCTTCAAACTATATAATTCTCTCACTCAACTATATATAGCTCTCATTAAGTCAATGTGTCGACAGGATACTTGGGCAGTGGGATGCTTTACTGCTGTATTTTACAGAACAACTTTTTAGTGAAAGACTAATGGCTGTAGAGAGACTTTAGGGTTTATACATGAATCCATATAAAAAATTAAATCTTTACTTTATTAGTCATGTTTAGAGCATCACTAATAAATTGTTGGTAGTTTTTCAAGCACAAAATTCTTTTATTGACAGTTTTTATAAAACTATGAGTGAAACTTTTAAATCCTTGTGCAGTATGTACATTGAAAATTGGTTATCAATCGTAATTGGTTGAAAATCGCAATTTAATAATTCAGCGAGCTTATAAAGTTAATCGCCAAATCATTAAGTGACGATAACAGCAGTTTACATTCTTATTGCTGTTTAATAAAATAATTATAAGAGAGCAATTAGCAACATTTTTCGTTCTTATTCTTTGTAAAAGATTTTTTTTGATTATGTAACATAAGTTAATCAATCATGATGTTAAAACAAACACAAACCACCATATTAATATAAAACTATAAATAACAGAATTAGGTGATATTTATGTAAAAAAAAACTTTTCGCAAAAACTTTAACCCCAGAGAAACTTTTTACCTTCAACCATCCAACATAGAAGAAAAATTGCAATAAGGTGAAAATGGGAACATAGAGATCCGCCTGGTGCTTGTTGTAACCACGTACTGGATCTAAGTATTGCCTTCCCACCATCAGAGCCAAAGCATATGAGTATGTTGCTATCGTCACTACCTAAATGAAAAACACTCCATAAGTTTTCATATTACAGCAATGCAAGTGCATTGGATTCGATAAAACATCTTAAAAAAAGGTAGAGAACTACAAAGTAAAATTTGTCGATTTTCAGTCAATTTCGGCAACTTTTTGATGGGCTCAACACGGCTTTAACTATAATAAAGTGGCGTATAACATAAGGTATGGTATTCCATGATGCTAAAGAGTCTAATGCAACTACAATTAATGATGTAGAGGGGAATTTTTCCTCTGATTATACTACAGATATACAAGGAAATTGCTGTATTTTTCTGATTGGCATAGTTAAGAGGAATGATTCATCTAGAAATAGTGAAGCTCATCTAGAGCTTCACAACTCAGGATCGGAATCCAGTTTTATTTGAGAAAAAAAATGCTGTTTTTTTCGGACCTAGTAACCAGACGCATGATTAAAGTTCGAAGTTTTGTAAAAGTGTGAACGGGAATTTAGTTTACACATCTCAGCTTTAATACCTTCTAAAGTAAAAAGACTTTTACCTCAGTTCAAAATGGAATTAAAAAATTTTCCAACTTCAAAAGACTTAAACTCATATTTGCATTTCGCCCAAAAGACTTACGTGCCTTTAGGAATAGATACATTTCCTAACATTCTCCAATAAAGAAAGCTCAAGCCAGCTGCATTGTTGATTTTAAAGCAGATTTTAGACATTTATCTTCTAGAAAACTTCGATTGTGATTGCTACTGTTTTACATAACATTTATATACTGTTTTAGATGATTTATATTTTTAGATATGCAAATGCAGTTTAGTGCAATTTTAATATGTTAATTTTCACTCAGCAACAACATTAAAATTTGTCGAAGCACACTCTTATGTATTTATTCGGGAAAAAAAATAATTTGGTATATAAAATAAGTATTTAGCACATACACACAAAAGATAACTACTATGGAAATCTTAGTAATTCACTTACTATTAACCTTGTAAGCGAACTTATACCGAATTTGTCACTTACTTGAGTATAAACTAAAGGCACGCTGATCCAATCAAAATTAAACATCGATCCACAAGCACTTCTATATCGCACAAATTCCTAAAAATATACAAATATAAATTAAACATATCAAAAAAGCTTTTTTTGCTCTAGTGTAGTTTTTTTTATTATTTTTTTTACAATTCTTATTTATTGTCCTTACTTCATTAAACAGAATAAAAATGAAAGTATATGTATGTGTTCGTATTTGGTTATCACGGATTTGTTTACTTAGTATTAATAATTAGAAATTATAATATTTCGAAAAAATACAATATTTCGAAAAAAGTATTGATAATTGTTACTCTTGCGCACTTAATACAAATTTAAAAATTTGTGAGAAATACAATCGCAATTCTTATTAGTTGTTGACTTGATTTCTGGTAAAACTTGATTCAACGTTTAACATCGCAATAGCCGAAATAATTCACGTTCAATTCTGAACCACCGTGAGGCATCGATTTATGGCACGCAGGGAAAGGTGAAGAGTAAAACAGTACTGGTTTCTTTTAAATCAATTTCAAACATTCTTTCCTAAGTTTTAATATTCGTTTTAAAAACATAATTCTTTCAAGAAAAAAAAATTAAGCTAAAATTGTATTTGCATGTCAGGACGTGAAAGTCCGATCGGATAAAAATTTACTCATATTCATCAAGTACAAAAATAGTATATAAATATTTTAATTGATAATACTAACTGTATTTCATTTTAAAATATCGTTGAAAAAACTCGAAATATTTGCATGTTTATTAACAAAACGGTAATTTGATCTAATTTTTTAGCACTCCTGTAGAGATGCCAACTGCTCCGGACACGCCAAAATAATTTTAAAAACGGTAAATAACAGCATATTAAAATTTGCTAATATTTGACTAATTTTGCTTACTTTTTAAACATGGTTTACTATGATAAAGTGGTGAATATATAAGCCTAAGTATTATTTAGAAATAGTGGTAGATAACAATCTAATAAATTGAATTTATTAAACAAGGAATCACAATTAATAAACTATCACTCAATGATATTTATTCGCTGTCCGGAGCAAGTTTGCATCTCTGCTCATGCACACCAAGAGCAAAAATAAAGAGTATACAAGGCAATAATGAATCAATTAAATTATAAATAGATCTATTTTTTTTTAAGATCAACATTAACTATACACAGGGTCATAAGAATTTAAGACTTATAAACCTCTGATTTTTCTACTTATGGTTACTCTTATGTAAAAATGTTGCAAACGAATTTAAGTTTTTCGCTTTCTCATTCGAATTACATTAACACAATTACTGATATCAGCCACCTAATTAAATTATAGTCGTAATTTAAACTATAATTTCAGAGATTCTTTTTTTATACACAAAAATACAGAGATTTATTGTATCGATGTCAGTCGAGCAACTAATAGTGCACATATCGAAACGTTTTGAAATATGAATAAAACTTTAAATGAACTTTTCTTAATTTTTCATAACCAAATTTATGCTCACATATGTCAATTGTTTCGCGTTGCAATTTTTTTCGATGACGAGTTTTGTTTTATGATATATTGGGTAATAAACTTAAAATTTTTACATACTGCTAACAAACCGTTTAACAAAACGGTATCCTTTATTCTACCTTCCTTCCTGGCTCTCATTGCTAAGGAACTGAACCATTGAGCCGGAAGCCACCATTTTCCATATGGAGCATCTAGTTTTTCAAATATAGTTCTTTCCTCCTTGGTCATTATACCTAAAACAATCGAATAAACATATTTCTTAATCAAATCAATATAAGATAATTTTATTTTTTAAAAATATACTCACACTTTTTAAACACTCTATGATATATCCCTAATTTTCGATGCTATTCATTGAAAACTTTTATTATCAAAGCTGTTTTTTTTAGCATTTCCCAAAATTAAAAGAACTTGGCAAAATTAAAGCTAAAAAATCCAGTAATAATTTCAATACAGAATTTTTAAAATATATCTTTGATACTAAATTTGGTAAATCTTACTCTTTGGTGGAATGGGCAACTCCATAATCTAACATAGGATCCCCTTTATTGCAGATTTGATTACAGAATCCAAATCTGTTCAAATTGAGGATTTTGAAGTTGCCTTCTTCCCATGGCCAGGTTGAGGAAAGGTCGAGGTGGGCACCATTAACTATATTTCTTGAAATATATTTTGCACTTGCGATCTTCGTTTTTTGATCAGATGTATATTTCAATTCAGGTAATGTGTAGTTATTTCTGGCTTTTACGCCAAAAGCTAATTCTTCCATCAAACTTCCTGCACAAGAACACCTAGTTAACTAACACTTTGGAACTCCCATTCTTCTAACAATTTTACGAGATATTGGATCATTAAAGGTTGGAAAATTAATCGTTTCGTTATTAAAAACAAAACTTATATATACGGATGTTCCATTTCCACCTTTATCTCGAAATCGAACTTGATTCTTAGTATTATCAGCAATGTTTGAAGCATCGGAAGTGGATTTGGCCAGTTTTTTAGTAGCAAATCTATTAAGGTTTGATTTGCTCTCTTTTCCCGTGACTTTCCACCGAGAGCTGATACCTTTTCTCAATTTAATGATTTTATTCAAGCATTAAGTAGAACTAGGAGGCTCCGCCCCCTGCTCGCTAACCCCCGAGAATTGTTACGCAATCCTATGTGGTTCACGCCGTGAACCATGGCTCGCTGCGCTCGCTCGCCAATGAACACAATGTTCTAGCACAAAGACATAATATATTATCATCAAAGACATAGTATTTTATCATCAAAGACACAGTATTGTACTTATGTAGAAGAATTCTACCAATGTTCTTATTGGCTTTTAAAAAAGTATATTAGCTATTTAGATTGTACATGGTGAAAAAATCAAAACATTAGCTAAATAAGAAACATATTAGCAAAATAAATTATCAAATATTGCTTCACTAATATTCTGCATTTTAAAGCGTGAAAATTCAATGCGTAAATAAACGCGAAATATAAAAAAATTCAATGCATTCAATACAAACACTTAGACGTTTAGGTAGCTCCCAGTAGAAAAGTATCAATTCAACAGCGGCCTTTTAAAGCATTCTCACTTCAATTAATTAATTAATTCCTAATTGAGTTTAAATTAAATATTGTCATGTTTTTAGAGCATGAATCTGAATTGAACAACCTGATAATGCTCACTCTGGTTATTGTTATCTGGTTGCTCACTACGCGCTCTTGCGCGCCGAATCCAATCAATTAAAAATGAAAACTGTTGCCAGCGCGAGAAAAGAAATATCATCGGTTTTATTGATACATACATAGGTACGTATTAGCGTTTTATATAATATAGATAGATTATAGAAAGAAGATGTAGGATACTTTACAATACTCTTAACAATTTTACTAGTTTAAATAACTCTTCGTCAAAACAGCTTGGTTGTATAAAAATTCAAATAAAGTCTGAGGTTTGCCAAAAAAATTAAAGTTCAACCCACCATCTACCCCATGGTGGAGAGGATTCTGGGAGAGGTTAATCGGAATCCTTCAGATCTCTTGACTCGTATCTGTGGCTGTTAATACATTATTAACAATAGACTTTTAACAAACTTATCAGAAGAATATGATTAGAGAGCTTTACCACCTTACTTAAAGATTTCAATGTCAAGGATGCACCTGATCTGAATAAAATTGACAATGCTCATATAAATAAAAGGTATGCATACATTTATATGTAGAGACAGAACAAAGAAAGATTTCGAACTAAATATTCCGGTTATCTCTTCCTAAAAAACACGACTAAATCAAAGGGTGGATAAGTTGCTTAATTGGTAGGGAGGAGAAAAGGTGGCTTCACTGACTATTAGGGAGAGTTACAGATTTCTATCCTGAAAGAGATGAGTGAGTCAGATTGGTGAAATTGAAAACGTGCTAGAAAACTTAACTTAAAACTATCGAAACACGGTATACCTTAAAAGACATTGAAAATAAAACTTAATATTATCTTTAGATAGACCTTATCTAATGAATACGTTTCTTATTCTAGTTTACATTTAAATAATGCTTATTATTGATATTTACTCCATACTTTGTTTTTATTAATTTGAATTTTTTATTTCAATGAGTTTCAATCTTGCAGTAGATTATTGTACGCTTATGACATTTTCAGTATTCTTCAGTTTTTTTCTAATATTTACATTTTCTCGTTCTTCTCTCAACTGGTAAAATAAAGTGAAGAGAATATTTTGAATACAGTAGAAGAAATTATTTGACACCAAAAAAAGAGAATGATTATGAATTTGTGTGAACAAAGCGGTTTTCTGGAGAAAAAAAATAGTGTAAATAAATTTTAATACCTTAAAACTTCTTACTTGTCAATTCATAAAGTTGTCAATTTTCATAACTTAAAAATTGGTTATTATTTTTCAAACAATTCTACATTGTGTATATTAGCCGACCGGCTTGTGTAGGGGGCAGGGAACTGTCCTTAAATCAGAAAGGTTCTGGGTTCGAATCCCGGGCAAGGCATGGATGTTCTTTCCTTCTCAGTACTATCTGTCCTCACTGTGGGAGCGACGTTGGCCCACCTAATATGGTGGCCCTGAAGGAGAGGCCAACAAAATCGCCCGGCATATGCCTGAATTGACGGATGTTAAAACAGGTGGGCATTAGTAAAAAAAAATTTTTGTATATTTGTAGCAAACAAGGACTATTGCTAAAGATTTGTTTTAATGAAACAACAAATAGCAAAAAATTTTGCCTTTTTGGAAATATATTTTGCTCTTTGGAACTACAAAAATATCAAGTTCCATAAATTGAAGTATATGGATCTGCTTTGTCATTTTATAAGATGAAACTTCCGACAGAGATTACTTTAATGCCCAGCAAGATTTACTGATCTGTCCAAAATAATAGAATTACCGTCTTTTGAAACAGAGGGTGATATGAGTCGAAAAAGCTCTTTTGATTCCTAACCTGTTTTGACATTTAAAAACTCTATTCGATTTTTAAGTTGTTGATGCATAAAATGTAAAAATAAAACAAACATACCAGCTGCAACTAGATGACCAGTGGTTGGAAATCTTTTCTTTACTGCCGTGCTTACGCTTTGAAAAGTTATTGCTTGTAGCAGAATCAAATAACGTCCCAATGTTCTTCGTATCATTCGGCTTCTATCATCTGCTCCATGCACGTACGCATTGATCAGGTAGCATATCCTAAAAATAATTGCAAAAAATATCACTCAGTAATATTTTGTGTTTTATTTAGAGACAGTTTTCAGTATTATTATTTGCTAAAAACTCAGATTCCTATGACTAATAAAAATAGAGCTAGTAGTATATAGCAGAGTTGGCCAAAAATGTAATCGATTACATTTTTTGATTACAGTAATCAATTACTTGTAATCATGATTACAATTTTCAAAAATTTTGATTACAGCTGTAATCATGATTACAATATTGATTACAGTAATCAATTACTTGTAATCGTGATTACAAAGTTTGATTACAGCTGTAATCATGATTACATAGTCGATTACAGTAATCAATTACTTGTAATCATGATTACAATTTTCAAAAAATTTTGATTACAGCTGTAATCATGATTACAATTTTGATTACAGTAATCAATTACTTGTAATCATGATTACAAGTAATTGCGATTACAAGTAATCACAACAAAAACGATTACAAGTAATTATGATTACAAGTAATCAAAATATATGATTACATGTAATTTGATTACATGTAATTTGATTACATGTAATTATGATTACATGTAATCTAATTACACGATTACAAGACTATTGTATTCTTATAAATGATTATATTTTACAGTAGATAGTAGAATGTATTTTATAATGATACATTTTGCACGTATTAACATGTACTGCATTTTGTACGTATTTGTATACGTACAAATGAATGTAACTGAAATGTATGTACATATGATTTTATCTAGTGCATATGTTCAGACATTTTAGTATCACACACATGTACATACACTTATATTGTAGGTATAAAATATATGTACGTATGTATATAGATAATAATTACGTATGTATGTGCAAACAATGTAGACATGTACATTTATACACAATGAATATATGCATTTTATGCAAATATTTGTGTATGTAAAATGTATATCTATGTTCATGTACGCATGTATATACAAGTACTTGTGTTTGTACGAACATACATACATTGTCTGTACAATGTATGTCCCATGCATGTATGTGCAATTTATTTATGAACAGTACAATATATGTATGCATGTACAATATAGGTATATCTGTAGGATGTACAATATATGTATGTATACATGTACATGATATGCATGTCCAGTGTATTTATGTACATGTACATAATATGTTCATGCTCAATGTAAGTATCCAAATATGCATAATACATTTGTGAACTATTGTACGTACATTGGGCGTATTTATATTTCACATATATTCATACATGCATTCGACATGCATAACGTACGTACATACACACATTTGAGATGCATATATTGTACAGATGTATATACATATAGCGTACAGATGTATATACATATAGCGTACAGATGTATATTCATATAATGTACATATGATGAAATGAACATATAATGTTCATATAATGTACATATGTGTGTACATATACAGTACGTATGTGCATAAATATATTGGGCATAATTCTTTCGTACAAATTTTACATGTGTACATGCATGCTATCCCTATCTATGCATATGGTGCAATGTATATATGTACAATGAATGTATCCACACATGTACAATACACGTATGTTCCATGTATGCATATCCATATGTACTATATATGCACGTACAATACATGAATGTATGTACATACATTGTACATGCGTACATACATTACACGTATACATATGTACATTACATTTATGTCTAAATATGTGTACAATGCAATAAATAAAATGCATGTAAGTTAACTTTTAATGACTCAAGCAAGTTAAATGACAAAATCAAACGATATTTAAATTTAGTTTTCAGCTTTAATTGTTCTATATCATTTTGAAATTCTCTGAATAAAAAATTATTTTCAGGTATTTTCATGAAATGTTTGACAATACAGATTTATTTTTTTTATAACATAATGCATGATTCATAGAAATTTTTTAAATGGTAAGAAAAACGGTAAATTTTATGTGTGGAATTAATATTTAGAAATTCCAAATAAAATTATCGTTTGCTTTCTAAAAAATATGAGGTCGAGTTTCATATACCTTAGAATAATTTTAAAACAAATTTTAATAACTTTACTCATATAAATTTTTTTAATGTATGCACAATGTATGTGTATATTGTAATTACATATATTTAAATGTACGCACGTATTTGTACATTACTTGTAATTATGTACATGTATACGTTGTATGCACATGCATACATTGTGCATATAACTATTTTTTTGTACATCCATGCATTACATGCGCATAAGTATTAACAAAGTATGTAGTTATACAAGTACATACGTAAGTTGTACATAAGTACATACTTTGCGTGCACATATATCGATGTACATATAAATATGCATGTATACATGTACGCATTTTATTTACGCAACTATGTGCATATATTGTACCTTTAAATAACATTTTTACATATTGTACGCAAATACGTACAATTTTATATACAAACGTACATTGTATATACGTGCTATTATCGTAAATTTATACAATATATGCACTTAAGTACATAAAAGCATGCAAACGCATAAACATTATTTTCATATACGTTCATACATACATTGTCTATGTATACAAAGATACAAAACATTGCCTTTTTGTACAAACTAACATACATGCGTACATGTATCATAAATGCATAATTATATGTACTAAGCATATGCGCATTGCATTAAGTATATTACAATATAATTATGAATATTGTACGTACAAACAACGTTTGTGCATACATTGTATGTATAGGAATCGCAAATTGTACGTTCATGCGTGCGTACATTCTATGTACATAAAAATATGTAAACACATGAATACTTACATAAAAAATTTGACTATAGTATACAATCGTAATAACTTGTAATCGTATAGTTTGATTACAAGTAATCACAATTACATGTAATCAAATTACATGTAATCATGATTACATGTAATCATATATTTTGATTACTTGTAATCATAATTACTTGTAATCGTTTTTGTTGTGATTACTTGTAATCGCAATTACTTGTAATCATGATTACAAGTAATTGATTACTGTAATCAAAATTGTAATCATGATTACAGCTGTAATCAAAATTTTTTGAAAGCTGTAATCACGATTGCAAGTAATTGATTACTTGTAATCGTGATTACAAGTAATTGATTACATAGCCGTAATTATCTGTAATCAATTACAGTTGTAATCGATTACTGTAATCAACGGCCAACTCTGGTATATAGTATATGTTAAACATTAGAGCTTAATTTTAGGACTAATAAAGTTGGCATGCACTAACATTCATGAGAGTTGAGCAAAACATTGTAAAGTATTTCATACTTACCTTCAGTATCAGCCAAAATTTGCCTTCAGAGATATTTTATGAAACAATTTTACAAATATTGGCTAGTATCATGAGAAATCGCAAAGTATTATTTTTTCATCAAAATTTTAAAGCCATGTTATGAAAAATGTTTTAAATTAATTTTATAATGTTGTGAAGAGACATGACTTAGTGCGTAGTTAGACAGCCTTGAACTTTGAGGGAACACGGTATGCGACACAAGCTAAAAATCAAAGATCTGCCTATATACAAATGTTAAATTTTGTAGAATAAGTCATAAATACGTTAAATCCTTTTCTACGTCATTATGGATTTCAAAAATGAAATGTATGACAGGTTTCTTTGCATTAACCACGTGATAAAATGTTATGCTCTGGCATTTATAAAAAAAAGAGTTATGCCTCGAAGTTTACTTGAAGTTGCTTAGACCTATCTTGAGCATTCAAAAGTAACTTTTGTTTAAAACATCTAAATCTATTCTTAAATTGATATATCTGTACTTTTAGTACTAAATGCATAACAAACAGCTCAACTTACCTATCTGGCCATGGTATTGCGTCGAACTGCTCCCACCACCTTCCAATGACAAGGGACACATAAAATCCAAGCACAAAAGACAAAGGTATCAGATCAATAAAATCTTCGAAAAAAAGAACTACTCGTTCAAAGTACCTAAAAAGTGCAAAATTTTAGTTATACTAAAGTTAGGTCAAAATTCAACTATTTAACACTGAAGCCTATTCTCATATTTCATCGAACAAATTCTTGATTTTTTTTGCATGTTTTTTTTTTCTTAGGTAGTTAGAATTGAAGTACGTTCTGTTAGTTTTATTTCAAATATTTCCTTTTTTTGTTTCTTGAATATTTATTTATAACTGACTATTTTTACAGTTCTTTTCTTATTTAATTTCTTTTAGTATGTACTTTTTAACTTATTTATAATTTATTTATTTCTCCTGGTTGAATTTTAGATGTTCTGATTCTGAAATAATTAATTCCTTCCCAGATTCGTTATTTTTTTTACTTCCCGTTTCTTCTATTCATAATATTTCCATTTTTTTAAATTTCTTTTCTAATAGCAATTACAACTTTGAACTATTTTATCTTTTCCTAGAGAATTACTTCCTTACATAAGTTTTCGTTAGAAATACCTTACAAGTACTTTCTTATTCACACGCCTTTCTTTGAATTCTTCGAAATCACGAAAAGATTAGTGGCAAAATGGAAGTGTTAAATTTTAAAAAAAAATTGCAGATCTTCTATATTGTAAAGAAATATTATACGAATAATATTATTAAAAACTTAAGAAATTTTCCGGAAAATTGACAGGAAAAAAGCAGAATTCGAAAGCAAAGATGAAAACTTTAGAAAAGGCACGGTTAGTGTTAGCGGGAAAAAGCATTAAAAGCTAGGTAGGAAAAATCTGGGCATTAAGTCAACGTGATTGCACATTTTAACCATTGCTAATGGAAAACTAATAAGTCAAGCTAATGGAAAACAGAGCTCAGAGATGCCAAGTGCTCCGGACACGCCAAAATAATTAAAAAAAAAAAAACGGGATGTAACTACTAAGTAACTTTTGCAAATATTTAACTATATTTGCTTGCTTTTTAAAAGGTATAGGCATGACATAAGCACAATAAAGTGGTGAATTATATATGCTTACGAATTATTTAGTCGTGGAAAAAAATCTACTAAATTGAATTTATTAAATCAAAAATCACAATTGATAAACTACCACTTTAAAATATATATTTGTTGTGCCGAGCAAGTTACTATCTCTGAGAGCTGTAACGTCACGATCATGGTTTGGGCCATGTCGACGAGTTTTAGTAATAATACATTTAAATAAAATCTTAAATAATTAGTGGTAGATAATGATTCAATTACTTTGATAACATTGTAACTACCTTATAAATCAAAAAGAGTATATTTAACTCCATATCACTATGATTTTCCCCTATCAAACTACCAATTATAATGATCGCAAACTTTTGCAGTTAAAAAAAAAAATTTTTTTTAAATAAACAATAGCACTTGATAATCGGCATGTTTTTGGATATTTTTGCGTTCCAAGATATGCAATGCACACATACTGATTGAAAAACACAAATGCTAATAATTTGAAGGGTGAATCAATAGATTTCTGTTTTATTCTTTGTCAAAATGGATTCCATTTTAAATAAGAACAAAGTAAACAAAATATTTTTAAAAAATTGTTATTCTATTTCTGATTAAGATGTTATGTTATCATTAAGCACTAAATACTTCAAATCTTTGGTTAAAACACTGAAAATACTCCAAAACCCTCACTGGATCGTTTGATCTCACTGAAAAATTATAGTTAGTCATATAAATGCGTTTTGTAGTCATTCTAAGGAAACTAATATACAGATTATAGCAGTGGAGACTTGTTATTAATGAATTCACAAATATAAAACATTTCAAGAGAATGGAGTCAGAAGACCTCAATCTCTATTAATTTTTAAAAATTGATTGAAATATTTTGATGAACTGAACTAACGAGAACAAGCTTTATTCCGCAACCCGTTTATGATATCCAACACTCAGAAATCTCAGCTATTTTTGTTACTTCATTATAATTTACCCGACTCATTAATAATTAGCTTTTATTTATATTGGACACCAATTTTCTTAAGGTTTCTAATGGGTTCAATGACAGTGATTCTCAACATTTTCATATCTATGGACTATTAGAAGCCTAATTAAATTTATGGCGAACCACACACATTTAAATCAGTGAAATTTAACCTCTATCTACATATTAATTAATTAGGGTTAATATTATGGTTGTGACGCCAACAAATATTTAAGAAAGCAATAAAATTATAATAGTAAGTAAAATAAAATGCTGTTGACGCATTTCCTTTAATCTATATATAATCAATAAATATTTGTCTTATAGTTCGAAAGGAAATATTTCGAAAGGGTTAACTTTTTGTCTCAGAATTTTTGTCAAAATAAGCGAAAAATATTATATCGAGAATTTAATAGTTTATGGTTATGAAATACAGCATGAAACACGGGTATCTTTTCTTGCGTTAAAGGTGAAATCTTCGAAACACGTCTCTTTTCCAAACAATTTTTCAAACTTGCACTTATTTAGATCGAAAAGAAATAGTTATTCAGCTCCGAAATTTACAAAATCAATTATTCATAAATAATTGAAAAATCTTAATTTACAATATCAATTATTGATAAGTAACTGAAAAACCTTAATTTACAATATCAATTATTGATTAATAATTGAAAAACCTTAATTTACAAAATCAATTATTGATAAATATTTGAATATGATAAAATAAAAGATTTTTTTTTCTAAAGCGTCAGAGAAAAATTTATCAAAAGGGTATTATTCCTTCGAAAGACATTTAAATATGAATAGAATATATTTTAGCTATTTGCAAGATATCTTGAGAGTGCCCAATTTACTGTGGTCGAATTTTCATCTTCACGACACCCTTGATTTTGCATTTCATTTTAAAAATTTTGGCTGAAAAGAAGTCAAAATTAATTTCAATTGAGAATCTAATTTCAATAAAAGTTTCCGACGTTTATTTTTGATAACACTCTTTGACAACATTAAATCATCTTACGAACCAAAAGTCAATCGTAAACGTCAGATTGAGTTTCCCTATCCTATGATATTGTTACGCTGAAAATCAATTTCAATTGAGAATCTAATTTCAATAAACGTTTCAGACGGGTTTTTTTTATAACACTTTTCCAGACGACATTAAATCATCTCACGGACCAAAAATGGAACGTAAACCACAGATTGAGTATCTCAATCATATGGTATAGTTAATCTGAAAGAGCTGAAATTGCATACTTTAAAACCAATGATTTATGATGAATTTAACTCACCTTTTCTGTTCCTCGTCAAGGATGAGTCTGTAGATAATACTGAGAAGACTGTATCCTAGTGAAAAAACTATGAATTCCTTCCACAAAATCTTGTAAATACTCCCTTTCCATCGTCCTAAAAGTTTTGTAAATCCACAAAAACGAGTGTTTGCTACATCTAGCGAATAAGTGATAGTCATTTTGACTAGTAAGTAGCACCATCAACCTCAAACAGTTCAAAACTCATAGATATTTTTTTCCAAAGCATGGCTATTTAGAAACTATTGATGAGGTGATAATTTTTCCCCTTTACGCCCTGAAAAGAACAAAAAAAAAGTTAGCTGCTATTTTGAAACTGAAAAGTAACTTATACTTTTTTATAACTGAAGTCTAAAAATAACTAATAACTCTGAAATTTCAATTGTTATCATTAATCTAAATTTTAATAAAAATTAAGAGCATTTTCCGTAAGTTATGCCACTTTATTTGTCAGAAATGAAGGATAATAAAAATATCCACCTTTTTTCGTAGTCTGCGAGTAACACTGATTTAAGTATAGTTAACGAGGATTCAAGAGATTTTTTTAAACTTATTTCTTGCAATATATAAAATAGGTTTAAAATAATTTTATATTTTTACATCTGAGATTAATTTACATGCCGAGCTTTATTAAAGAAACAATCTTTTAATTTTGTTTATAAAATTAAATACAATATTTATTACAATTTCAATAAGTTAACTAGATGTTTTAGCTATTATAATCTGCGATAAATGAAAAAAATAAGTTAAACAGTGTTTTCTAATTTATTCTTGATATGACAAAAATTCTTCAGTTTTCTTTTCTATTAGACAGTCGGGCATTTGTTAAGAATTCAAAAGCGTAAAAATATGCTTAAAGAACATTTTAAGATATTTAAAATGGTAAGACATTTACTCACAAAATATAGTGAATTCAGATATTCAAATTTCGAAAGAAATGATTAATTAATCTTATTTATGAAACATAAGAAAAATCTCCAAAATATTATATACATATTTAGTTTTCATGACGATAATTAATAATAAAAAATATATTATAATAAATACCAACCACTGAAAACTACCAAAATATTATCAATTCATTTATCTTTCAATAATGATAAGTCAGACATTTGTAATCCAATTTTAAAAGATATAATTGTAAAGATCTAATTTATAAAGATATATCTTTTACAATTCTAATAAACTTAGAAAGATAAGATAAATTAATTTTACAGACATAACAAAAATCTCCAAAATATATATTATATTTTAAATATTTTATTTTTTCAAACATATTATTACCAAAATATATTATTTTTCAAATTATATTATAAATTTTCAATTGCGAAACTTAAAAAAAAAATGTAATACTATAGTAGCAACTACTGAAAATCATCTTAAGGTCATTAGTTAATCTTATTTTCTAACACCGATGAATCTGATATTTTATATCATGAATTTAACTTATTTCATAAGCAAAGGCACAAAAAATCTCCAATAACGAAATTTCTAAAAAAAATTTATTATTTAATTGCACAAATAGCAAACATCAACCACAATAACAAACAAAAACAGAAATTAACCACTGAAAACTACCTAAAGGTCATCAGCAAATCTGTTATCTTCCAATGCTGATAGGTCTGATATCGTAACTTAAACATTCGGCAGAAATGAAATGAAACGTTTCTTAGCACCTGGGGATTTTTCTAGTGCAGTCCTCACTTAAAATTATGCCCATCATCACCTTTTTTTCTTTGAACAAGGACTGATGCTTTCTTAAGAAAACAAATACGCAGCAAACTTTATCTCACTCTTTTTTGGGTATTTATCTCTATCTTACCTGTTGAGTACGGGGAGTTAATGAGTATCAACCTTTTTTTATCCTTAACCAAATGTTTACTTCACACGAAGTATCTTCTGTGATCATTTCAGAAATCAATTGTTTGAATGCATTTGAAAGAAACATCTGATGCGCTGATGGAGTCCTTTGAACTTAGTCCTTGATTTTTTAAATAAAAAAAATCTTGATTATTGTCCTGGGAACAACCTCATGAAAGTGTTGGTCCTTTTAATAAAAACAGAATTTATAAGCTAAAATTAAACTACTTTGAGTGAAAATTAATTCATAAATGTGTTACAAGTTCTCCTTTAAAGTGTAGTAGACCAGGTGCAAATGATAAGATATTAAATGTAGTGGTTTGAAAGTAGGGTACGTTCTCCCGATGGTATTTTCTAAATCTACAGGTGAAAACACGATTAAAGCTGCGAAAAATGGGAATGCAATTAAAGATAATTACTTTTTATTTTTCAACCCTTTAATGCAGATGGGTTTAATGGGAGTTTGAAAAAAAAATTTTTTTTCATTCATATTCAAAAATTTATCATTAGTTGATTTTCTAAATTAATAAAATTTTAATGATGAATAACTGTTTTTGAAAAATTATTCTTTGGAAGTGAGCTTTGTCTGGAAGGTTTTTCCTTTAAAACAGAAAAATACAGCGATTTTTCGTGCTGTATTTCATAACCATAAATAATTAAAATGCTAAATATAATATTTTGCTTTTATTTTGACATAAATTAATACAAAATAATGAAAAAAGTATGAAAAATGTTTAATAAAAAGTTTGGGTCAAGGAATTAAAGTGTTAACAATCGGAAATTTTTTACCATATAGTCGAAAGAATAGTACACTGTTTAAAAATATGCATTTTTTTATTAATAAAATCCAATGTGTGAAAGAAATCAGTAGAACAGTTATTGAGAAATGGCAGTTAAACATGATTTATTTTAATAAAAAATTATATATATTGTGCCCTTTTTATTTCTCTAGCATATTCAAACTATTTATTTGAAATCTTCGATTTTGTCACTTATATGTCAAATATATAGTTAAGCACAAACTTGTACCTAACAATTTTTTTTAAACTGGAAGTTGACTAAAATAGTTTTGCGATTATCAGCAATGATGTCTTAAATTTCGGAATAAGTTCCAGCAATTTTGAGACACACAAAAATTATAATTTGCTATTATTAATACAATCAGAAAAAAACCGTATTTAGTGATCAAGAATTTCCAACACCCCACGGCGTTAAAGGTAAGGAAATAACAATTAAAATAATTTTTCAAATTTTGCTAAGCATTTAGTCACAAATTCACCTATCAAATGGAGCTGGATACCTAGGTCAAACATGGCCTTTACCTAATCATCAAGTCCATTACTCCCATTTTACAGATTTAAGCCCGAAGGAAAACCAGCTCTTTCAGCAGAAATAAAATAATAATTACGACTGAATAACTGATACATTTCAAATGTATCAGTTATTCAGTCGTAATTATTATTTTATTTCTGTTATATTATTATATCTATATATATTATTTCTATATTATATTATTTTATTCAAATGATTTGAATCAGCGTAGCTAACTCTGAGGGTTATATTCTTTATTATCTAATTAGGTACTTAGTAAAAATTAAAGGAATGAAGAAAATAGTCACAGCATAGCTCTATTCTAAATACTGGTAGTCAAAATCACTTGAAAAATGAATTTATTTAAAAAAAAAATTATATTTATGTTCAGCAAATTAAGTTGATTTCACATAAAAATTGCGTTATATTTGAAGTTAACTGCGGGTATAATATTTGTTTTTTTTTCTCCTTTGAATAATAAACCAAGTAACAAAATTATGAATCAAATATTTATTTACTTACCACTATTTAATTAAATTGCAACATATATAATTTTAAATTCGCAAATTTTTAATAAATAATTCCTTATAAAATAAATTTACAATATTAGTGATCACTTATTTATTACAAAAAGTAAAATTATGACAAATTAGAAATAATTCTTGTCAGTGACTAAATTGATATTGTAACCCTGAGCATCTCAATCTTATAAATTGAAAATAAGCGACACCGACCCAAAAAAATTTTTTTGAATGAATTATTCTGGGTAATTTTTCATATTAATTATGACGTTTGAGGCAACGAATATCTGTTTCTCGAAATTCTAGTGACTAAACAGATGGTTGAAAGAATCTAAGGAATTGCAATAGGAGTTATTTTGAATAACAGATTAAATTTGTCTCAATGTTTTACTTTAAACGCATGAAAAATAAACAAAATTTAAAATAAAAATATTGATGGTTGTTTTTGAGCTCTGACGACTCATAGGATGGGAAACTCTAACTTAACCTTTAAATAATATTGTAACTACAGAATATTGTAAATAAAATTTAGCATGATTTATTAATTATATAACATACAACTTGAACTAAATTAAGGTATATTATTCATGATTAAACCTGACGACAAAGAACAGAGTGTATTTTCAAATTCGTTTATAAATAAATAATAACTAGATAAAATATAACAAATATTTCAATATTTAAATTTAAGATTAAAACTTGTTTTCAATATTTTTTTTAAATAATTTTTTTAAATATAAGAACATCTTAACATTATTGTAAAAGGTAGGTTAGATTTTAAATAAAAATAAATTAAATTTCGCCTTAAATTATTCAGATTGATATCCAAGTACAATCTGTAAATTTAACTACTTGAAGTGACATTTTTTAATTGCAAGATCATATCCCAAGAAGCTGTGCATTTGGTAGAAAATCGGAAAATTGACCACCTGAAACTTAATATTTTAGACTAGTTAATATCCTTTACAAGCAATGATGTGTAGTAAGTAGAAAATTGAAAAATTAACAACATGAAGTTTTATATTTCAGACTAGAGAATATAAACTAGAGCCGTGTAAAAAAAACTGGACAATTAAGACTTGATCATACAAAACCAGTAATATTTAGTTGATAAGTAAGGAAATTACCCACTTGATAATAATGTTAAATTTAAAATAAGTAAAATTCCAACGATTTAGAATATCGTTTAAATATTTATAGTAATATAGTAAGAGTTTTAGATTTTATGCATAGTAGTAATAGCATGCTTATATGCAATTTTATTATTACGAACAAACCACTAAAAACTTTACAGTAATATATTATCGTAAAAAATAAAACTAAATAATGAAATATATTGCAGTACCTTTTATGGGGAAAATATTCCAGTGGTTTCTATCCTGCACTACCCACGCTAAATAAACAAATGCGATTCAAAGCAACTCGGCCGAAATACCAACTGGAAGACTTTATCTCCCAAATAGAAATAGTATTTTTTTTTTTTTGCTTTGAATAGTAGTATAGCACGCTTGTTTGAAATATCATTACGGGGCTAGAAATCTTATAGTATTTCTATCAAAAATAATAATAATAAGTAAATAAATAAATAAAATTATGCAATGAAATAGATTGAATCGATTACCGTATCTTTCACGGAAAAAAAATACTCGAGTAGTTCACGGTAATGTTTCATCAGCAACGCTCAATAAAGTAAACAAATATGAATCGAAGCAACTTGCTCGAGATACGAACTCGATGACTTTAGCTCTCAAATAATCATATCCTTAAATCATTTCATAGAATTTCTTTTGTAAACTCTCTCATCTAAGACTGCAATTTTGTGTAATTCTGTATCCTTTGGAATATTGTGTTTCTAAGGAGAAAAGACAAGTTGCAAATGTTTTTAAGACTATTTATTTCCGGTTTTTATCAGTTCATCTGTCACATTCGATTATTGCAAAGAATAAGGAAAAATTATTCCCTTTTGATAACCGATAAGCATCACCTTAAGTCTGTCAGCCTTCAGTAAATATTACTGATCTTAAGAAGAAAAAAAAAATTCTAACATTCTGGAAGGATGAATTAAAGCGTAGGTTGTTTTTGATGATCAAATCTCCTTACAGGTGGTCTTCGATTTAAGTTACAATTATCAGCCATATATATTTACACGAAAGAATTATTTTAACTTGAAACAACAAAGAGAATTGAAAAAATTTCTTAATTACTTGAATCGATACTACTTAAATATTTAAAAAAATTAATATTTATTAAAAAAAAAGTTATAGAAATGTACTATGAAGAAATTATTATATTTTTAAGGCTTATGCAATAGAACTCGTTTATAATGATTAACCAGGGTTAATTATTATCATCGCCCTGCCTTCGTAATAAACGAGTTCGTCTGTACTCATTTTTATTGCATGCATAAAAGTGAAGCAGGAATCGATATAAAAATTTCAAAATTGTTGACTTTTATAATTTTTTATTTGCAATTGATTGAATAACGATTTTTTACTTTTTTGTGATTGAACTTCGATAATTATTCGACGCACAGTGAGCCAAGGAAGAAAAAAAAGGATCATCCTGAATAACTTTTGATCTGATGATCGGATCTTCAAGTTCTAAAACTCTCTTAATGGGTCGAGGGGGTGACCTCAAATATACTAATTAATAAGTGCAGAATGATATTTTAATCAAATCAAACACAAAAACGTACTTTTTCTGAACAAACATACCTTTTTTTGACGGATTTAGATTTCTGATACCCAAAAAATAGGAGGTAGATGTAATAAGGTCTGAAGTTAGGAACAGACTTTTGATGGCTAATAAGTGCTACTTTGGTCTGAGGAACCAATTAAAATCGAAATTCCTCTATATTGGTACAAAAGTAAATCTATACAAGACCTTAATCAGATCAATTATTCTATATGGTACATGGGCAATTAATAAAACAGAGGAAAATAGACAACTCATTTTTGAAAGAAAGCTCCTTCGGTCAATTTTTGGAGCAGTTAAGGAAAATAATGCTTGGAGAAGTTTATATAATCATGAGATATACAATAAATATAGATTACTTAATATTTTGAGGGTTATTAAGGCGTTCAAGATCAGATGGCTGGGTGAAAACTGGGGTAAAACTTACTTTTTCGAAAATTGAAAGGAACTAGAAGAAGAGGGAGACCAGCTACAAGATGGTTGGACAGTGTTGAGAAGGACTTGAAATTGTTGGGAATAAACAGGTGGGAAAATCTAGCTCAAAGTCGCCCTGCCCGGGGGCAGCTAATTGAGAAAGCCTTGACCTGCACTAAGTCGTAGTGCTGACGAAGAAGACGAAGATGTAATCTGGGAAATATGGTCCCCATAGTTTGGTCAGAGCGTTCCCAAGTTTGGATCTCTTAATGTTAATTTTACTTATAGCATATTTCACCATAGCTAGATAACTTTTTTAGAGAATTTAAAATTTTTAGCTCACAATCTAATTCTTTTATTTAATAATAGTCGAAAAAATTTGAATTGTTAGGTATACGACTTTTTACGTCAGTTTAAAGTATGTCAGTTTACATGGTAAAATACAAAATTTGAGCGAAAACGGTTGAATAGTTCCAGAGAAATTGAATTTCAACTATACAACTTCCTTAAAAAGATCAAAAGTTATTTACGGCTTAAGAATAAGCACCATAACACAAATGGCACAAAATACATTGTCACTTTTTTACCAGAAAATATTTGCGATTTCTAGGCGATATCCATATTTTTCTATGTTCTTATTTGTCTTTGGTATATCCATGTTTTTCTATGTTTAGATTCTACGTTTTCCACGTTTCGTAAATATTTCGTCGAGGACGTGTCCGCAGACAAATGAGCAACAGTAGATATGGAATTTATTCGAAAGTTTGCTTGGTAACATCTTCTATTAGCTATTGCAATATTATAAATCATGGCAAAACGTATAAAAAAAACTTGATTACTCAGCTTTTAAATCTCATAAAAAGGATTAGGAAATTATCTCAAACGAAGCATCATTGTTTCAGGTCTGGTTCAGAATTGAAAAAATAATCGAAAACTTTTTACGTCAGCGAAACGAAGGACTCTAACCCTTCACTTCTGAGGATAATTTCACCTGCACTTCTGACTATGTGAATCGAATTTAACCATCATCTAGATTTGAACCTAGAGTATTGAACTCTAGCACATAGCCCTACTCTAACAATACATTGTAAGCCTTCAGAGTTAACTTTTGATCTGATAAGATATATCACTAATAAGATATATCATTTATGGTTCCGGGGGCTAACTTTAGATAAGATAATTAATGTGTGCAAACAATATTTTAAGTTATGAAATCAGATACAAAAACGTACTTTTTCTGATTAAACATATATTTTTTCCCCCGACAGATTTAAATCTTTGACCCTCAACAATATAAACAATAGCCGCAATCTAGAAATTGTCCCAATAGTTTTGGTCCCTTAGTTTTCAAATAAAAAAAATTGAGTAAAATTGGTTGAATAGCGTCTGAGTAATCAAATTTCAAAGAAGTCGTATTTTTAAATTTTCATTTCTCAAGAATTACTTGACCGATTACGTATAAATTATGGATTTCGTGATTTAAAATTGCTGACTTAAAAATAACGTTAAAATTTATGTACCTTTTACTGTTAACAATCTTTGACCATTAATAATTTAAATAATGAAAACTAGTAAGCAATTGCAAAAATTAATTTTTTACATGGAGTCTTTGGGTAAACGAGTTTATACAGGTTTGCCAACGGTTTTTTAAAAGTGGTGATAAAGGTGAATCAAACATCGATATAACCTATCGATGTTTGATATCGATTTTGCACACAAATCCTCCGATTTATGGGCAAAAACGATATTATTTTTCATAAGGAATATTACTATAAACAAATCCTCCGATTTTAAATTTCAAAAATTTTATGGTGATTTCAACTTTGAGAAAAATGCGTCACTGTATTGAGATAGGCCCTTCAAGTTACTGACACTTTTTTTAAGCTAGAAGAACAATTAATTAAAAAGAATAAGATATATATTCATAAATTTCTGAATCTAATAATAACTTTTTACACTTATATTTATTAAATATTATGAATATGACAAAGGATTTTAGCATAAAACTTACTTCTTTTACCCATGACGATTCATCATATTTCTACGTTACTGTTTCCTTCTTGATCAATCGTTAGATGCATAATTAGAATCAGGGAATTTCAATTTAAAATCGAGTTTTGTTATGAAGTTTTTATATTTACGCATGCATCTCTTCCTTAAGTTTTATGTTTTCACTTTCGGACAGATGAAGGGAGAATTTCAGTCATAAACAAGTTCAATGATACATATAACGTAGTCTGTTAGTCAAATATATCATCCAAGTACTAAGCTGCAAAAAAATTTACAACTAGGATTTGAGTTTATCAACTCATCTGCATTGTATCCCTGGAAAAGGGATTACTATTATGAATTTTCCTAATCCACGACATAAGACTATCAGATAAAATTAATGCACAAAACTTGTAACGTTGCATCCTTGATAAGAGCAATTTTTAAAATAATTACTTTATCAAATTTAAGCAGTACTTGATTAGCACTTTTCGAGATTAGGAATTATTATTGTAAAATGATTTGTACAATCTTTCTTTTTTTGAGATATTTATTTTGAAAGATGATGTAATTAAAATCCGTTTCACACTTTAAATAGTTAGATATGATTAACTTCTATTATTTCCACAAAATATTTGTTTTGTTTTAACTTATATTTAATATCTAAAAATGTGATATATCGCTCATGGGCTGCAATAGTTGCACAACTCAAAAAATCATGTTTTGAGAAAAGTGGGTTTAAAGTTTTCATTGCTAAGGAAAATGCATAAGAAGTTATTGCTTTAGTTTGCTTAAACGAAGATTACCTTCAAGTTGAATTATGAGTTGTGCTAGTATTGCTACTGAAAAAAATGTGTATTTTCATATTTACACCAGTTCTTAGTCCAAAACCCGTGCTTTTTTTTAGTTGTTCCACTATTGCGACCCATGAGCGATATTATTGTTTTTTACATTGATTCGTACAGGTTTCTAAAATTATATTAAAATATACGGGACTAAAATTTGTCTTATAAGAGGTAAACGATGTCGTGTTAATTCGTCGCACACTATTTGATGTTGGACAATTGATTGCCCACAATTCATCCGGGTGACAGATCTGCGTGGACACAATCAGTCGTGGAACAGTTTATAATAATGCGTCGACGTATTCTTGTGGGAATAATTCATTCTATGAGAATACAATTCGCCACAGTGATAATTCCTCGTTAGTTAAATTCACCGTGAGCACCACCTGTCTTGCAATAAAAAATTATGTTTTATAAAGAAAAATTTGTGTTCATTATAACTAGGATTTATTTATTTATTTTTACTTTAATGTGCATAATCAGGAGAAAAATTATCTCACTTACAAATTATATTATGTTGATATTTGCCTATAACAACTTACTCATGCTAGGTATCAAAATTAATATTTAGTACAGTATGTTAAATAAATCCTTTATATATTTTTGTCCACAAATAAAAATAAAAATTTCATACTGATATTTAGCACGTGCTATTCATGCTCTGACGGTGAATTTTAAATCAGGACGCAGTTTTCGTGTTTGCTAAAATGAACACAACTCGGAATGGGTGTCTCTAAATATGGACACTGCTCGAAACGCGTGTTGGCATAACTGGACAAAGCTGTAAATGCGTGTTTGCAAAAATGGACATAGCTCGAAGTGCTTGTTTAAGAAAACGGACACAGCAAAAAATACGCATTTTCAATTTCCAACTGAAATTCAACAGCTAAACGAGGAATTACGCACTTACTTTTCCTTGCGTATTTAAACGCTAAGCATAATCAATATGGGACAAGGTCCCGGATGTCGGGGATGGCTAGGCATTTTACAGCTGTAACTCTTAAAGCGATGTCTTCGTATTCAGAACATTCATAAAGTGAGTCTTAAGATTCTTAATTTCTACAACATAAATTAAAACACTATTATAAATT